TAGTCCTGGTCATAGTAGCCACCCTGGCCATTGTCGTAGTATCCATCTTGGTATTGATCGTGGCCGTCGTAATAGCCTCCATCCTGCTGGTAGGGGTTATTGGGGTCGGCGTTGTAGTAACCACTACTAGTTTGTTAGTGAAAGGACTACAAGAGGAGGGACATGATGCTCACGATTCGTCGTAGTAACCATCATGGTTGTTATTGTTGTTGTGATTTGGGCCACGGTTGTCGTAGCCTTGATCGTAGTACTGATCGTCTTGGTAGTAGGAGTCAGTGTTTCCACCGTGTTGTTGCTGGTTGCCTCCCTGTTGATGGCCATAACCATCATCGTACTGGTCGCGTTGACCGCCGCCTGGATATCCCGACATGTTGTTTAAATTAATTATCTGTTGGAGGATAAGGTCAGATACTGTCTGCAGGAATCATGCCCACGTCATGGGTTGTCCTGCCCTAGGAGACGTCATCTAGTGGTATGAAGCCAGATGAACGAAGCACAGGGTACAACCTCATGGACAATCAAGCTACCAGAACTCACCTAGTGGTACACATGTGGATAGCCAGCGAGCGTGAGTGTGAATCAAGATCAGGCGGGAGAACAAGCGTGGCCGGCACTGCAAGATATTGATTGTTTGTTGTCAAAAAACCGTCAAAAAGGCCGAACGGGCAGTGGCTTGGCCTAGAAAGAAAGACCAGTGAATTATGCGATTCGTCGTCGATACAGGTTCAAGAAGAGGAATCAATCACGGAGAGTGATTCACCAGCTTGAGAAGTCGACGTCGTTAGTCCAAGTGCGAGACAAAGCGATTTGGCGTAGCCGTAAAACGAGTGTCGGCAATGCGTAATGCAAAGAACAGCAAAGGGGAGAAGACGAGGGTTGGTTTTTGGTGGTTTGAGTTCCAACCCGCACGGGGAGGGAGAGAAACGCTGCGTGTCTCGGCGCCGGGTTATCCAGGGCGAAGTCAGGGGGTGGAGAATGCAAGGGTGTGTCTGTAAGATAACAGGGGAACCACCTTGAACTGATTGATGGATGGAGAGAAGATTCCAATTATTCAACAGACGTGATATGTATGTATTATTAGAAGTGTGATCCTTTTGCAGTGGCCAAAGACATCAAGAGGGGGGAGAAAGAAGAGATCAAGACTTGGGCGACAAGCTGGGATTGAATGTTTTGATTCCTTGAACGTAGACACGGATGTACGTACACAAAAACGTGGGAGTGAGAATGGAAGGGAGAGCGCGATGGGAAACAAAAAAAAACCACCATTCATTCACTCACTTACTGCTAGTGCTACACAACGGGAGGGAGCAACAATGCATCCAGCAACAGCAACTAACAGAAGGGAGACCTTTTTTTAGGAGCCTCGCCGGTCCATTTCTGGTCAGATCAGCGAATTAGGTACAATCCTCAGCATGGGTAAGAGCATATCTCGACTCAAAAAGTGGATCATTGGCTATAAAACGTTATCAACACTGGATTCAAAGTTACAGAGCGTGATACCCGCTAAGCCCGGAGTTCACAGCGGCAAGACCGCTGAAACTCAATTCGATTCAAAGCACAAACCGTCCGATTCTCTAACATTAAGCATTAACAGGTCTCATCAACTATTCTACTGTAATACAATGTAATAAGGTATCCATCCGTCCTCGTCCATCATGATGCGCTGTCCCAACAGTGGATCATCCGGGCCGTTTCCTGGTTGTCCCCTTTCGTTCCTTGCTTTCCTCTCGATAGACCCACCCATCCCATCCCATCAGAGACGCCCATCGCCCCTAAAAGCTGGCCCGCGCCCGCGACTCGCAGTGCAAGCCAGGGGCGCTGACCAGGAGTGCCAGGGGATACGGGTCTTGATTGGTGATTGTAAGGGGGTGGTTGGGTCTCTGTCTCTGGAGGGGGTTGGCCAGTTTGGACTCTGATTGAGAGAATGGCAGGCGGATTCCTCGGATGGATGCACTGCAGTTCAACATTCTCTCTCTCTCTCTCTGTCTAATGGGAATGAGTACATGGTGGGTACATGTTGCGGCAATATCTCAGCTGGCCTTGTTCTGCTCACATTCCGCTGTAAGGCGTTTGCTTCTGGAGCCTCGCTTGCATAAGACCCATGAGGCGGAACCTTGTACGAGCTCGTACCTTTAAAGTACTGTTCAGAAATAGCCAGCCACGCGTCATCATTGGTGGGGAGTCACTCCTTTGTGGGCCTGGCAAGTGCTCGCTGCAAATCGGGCTTTTGGATGAAGTCTCCAAAGTCCACTGAGGGGCACCGGTGCCCCTGAACGGCGCATCCGAAGCTCGAGTCAATTTCTTTCTGTGGCCCGGAGTTATGGTTGGCATTGGCAATGCCTCACTCTCGCTCACCAATGTTATCTATATGAGAAGCATAACACCTAAGGCATCAAGGCCACAACCAGCCAGCCTGCTCGGTTTTTGCCTCAAGCATGGGGCTAGCCTAGCCAGTTGTGCTACAGTGGCACGATGGAAGGTTGCAGTTGGTCACCCAAAGGTTAAATTCAGCGAGTGGCTGAGTTATTGATTGTTCCCTAACCACGATATCAAGGCAGAGGATGCATTATTAATCGAGGAAATTCTATGTATGCCTGCTCATTTTCGATGATTTCCAGGTTTGAGATTCACTAGTAAATGGAACGAAGCTGTTATCAAGCTACACGTACACGTGTCTATGCCTGTAAGCTGCTGGTACCCGTCACGGCTGCGGCCACAGCCGCAAGTGAGGACTTCGAGAAGCTTCAGCCGGTTCGTCGAATCCTCAGGCGGGGAGAACTTGAACTGCTGCGTAACCATGTCCTTGAACTGGATATGCACGTACCCTGCTCGTCACTATCAGATGATGGGATGGCTGGTACCTAAATTCATGCTTGGCTCTTCCACTTATCCCAAACCTATCAAGTATGGATAAAGTCATTCATCATCTGGACCATGTTTTGATCTCATGCTACTCCGTACGGAGTACTCTTTATTGAAATCGTTTCAGCCTTAAAGATGCAATCTCGATTGTTGTGCCGGTAATTACGGAGTAGACAGAGGGCATTGATAAGCAAGGCCGCTTAGAAATTGAGGAGAAAAGTCAGTGGATGCCCTGCACCGTACCCATTCATTATGCAGGAACAGGTCCTGCGTCACGCATTTTCGTAGGGTGGGCGAGAGCAATATGTACTTGCTGGTACTGCAACGAAAACGGCTCCTTCACACGAGACAGCATGCAGCGTGTAATTAAAAGGACTTTCCCTACTCCGTAGATTCCGTGAAAAGAAATAGCCAATAGCAACTCAATTGAGTGTGTTCTCAGTTGTTCTCTTCCCGTCGTGACACTGCCACAAATGAGCTCGCTCTTTTCTTGATCCCGTCCCGTCAGCAGCATAATTACAATCGATGACGACGCTGTACGCGGCCTGTGTGATACGCCGGCCTAAACAGTAGCTCCCTTACAAGGTTATCCCTGGTAAGCTCCAGACACCGACACGATCCAACACGATCATCGATCACCCAAATTCTCTCCATGGAAAGCTGTGGTTCCGCTTTGATTTTTTTTTCTCTCTATTCCCCATCTACTGTGCTAAAGGATTAACTTTGCAGTTGGTCCAATTTCCCAATCCCAAACCGTTTTAACAGGCCCGTGTCCACCACGCTAGAAGGGAATCGTCTTGTTGCAACTGGTTTGATGTTGAGTATTATTATTACGGGAACTGCTCCGAAATATTCAAGTTTCTGTTGTCAAGATAAGCCGGCGTCCCGCTACCCGTTGACTAGTTGGCAGTAGCTGGGGACGGAATTGGCTAGGTGTAAATAAATTATTGTGCATGGGTTGTAGAGACGATGCTTGTGCTGCTTGTTATCGACGATAGACCGTGATTGACCTGCAGGTTGATTCAATAAACATGATGATCCTGGCTGCAGATGACCATCAGCAATGTGACACGCACGGCGACACGGCTGCTGTATTGAGCCAGCTAATAATGATCTACTCTGTATGGACAGCCGATTAATGATCACCACATGGTTTCACGGAGTGAGCTCTAGTACTGTATTATAGATCAGCCAAAGTGATAGGCAACTTTTGGCGGAGACTTCTGAAAATGGCCACCTCCTTTTTTCCATTCCCACTCGCTGGCCCTCTGAACAGTCCGGCAATGGAGTCACATCCAGTTCATCAGTTAGCCTCGCACCGGATTGTTTCTTCGTTATGGCTTCACTCTCCAGCAGAATATGTTCTGCTCCATAATATCATGGCCAATTAATTACAAATGTACGTAATGGTTATGCCTCAACGATATGTTTCATATAGCAGGAATCTTGAAGTAATGTAAAAGTGTTGATTTTGTCATGTATTAACCTAACCTATACCCATCCATCGTCTCTCAGGTCTCAGCGACTGGCATTGGAAATTTGCTAAGGGACTACGACACAAGCGAGCACCAAAAATAAGCATGTCAAGTTGTTTCCCGTTCCTCCGGACCGGGCTTCTCGTTCCGATATTAAAGTGTCAATACTAGCTTCGTGTTCTAGAATTGTGAACGAAGCCGCTTAGTCAATTCGATACTTGTAGGCATGAAAGATGTCTCGCACTACGAACTATGGATACTTCTGGCACTCATCCATCAAACAATTATTCATCGTGAGCCTGTGTCTTGTATGTTTCGCATCCCGGTCCATGGAGAAGTTGGTGGGCGTCACGTGGACTGGCGATCAAACATTCCAATGGGTCTGTTGCTGTGCCAACGCGAAGGCCTCTCTACATTGAGTTCCGAATCTTGATAGATCATAGAACATTCAAATTTTACTGCAGCCATCATGCATTCAAGCTAAACCGGTTTATGCCATAGAAGCCATCATCTCCAGGTCATTACATACCTATCAAAGCATCACCTACCGAAACGCATCACTCTACATCCCCGCATGCCATTGACAACGCAAGAAATACACCCTCAACCAGCATATGCCATAACTTAAGCCTCTTCACCTGCGACTCAACACATCCACCCACCATGGCAAGACTGGCAGACATTTATTCCTCCAGTGACGATGACCTACCTGATCTGAAAACGCTTATTCGCCAACCCAGCACCCGAGCACCAAAGACAACTACTCCTGCGCCTTCAGTCAGTAAGCCTGCGATTTCTAAGACTACTTCCAACGCTGAAACCCGACGTGTGCGACGTCTTGGAGAGCCAAACCAAGCCGCCGCCAACCCGCTCTTCCAGAAATGGAACTCGGAAGAACAGAAAAGCACACGAGGTGGTCGACGGAGTAAGTCAAGGGCTGCAAGCTCTGAGAAGAAGCCATCGAGACAAACGAACCCAGTCGACAAAGTTTCCTCATATTTAGAATCCGAATGTGGCTCTGGGACTGAGAAGGACATGCCGCAGTCTCGACAACAGCCAAGAAGGAGGAGAAAGCAGAGGGTTGTGCAAGATTCTGATGACGAGAGTGACGAGAACTATGAATCCGAAAAGGAAACAGTCTTGAAAAGGGTCCGACGGCTTCAGAAAACAAATACCAGTACGGCGGCAATACCTACTCTGGAGATTCAGGAGCCGACACCAAGTATTCATTCCGGGACCAAGTCAAAAGCACTCCTTTTTGCACGAGAGATTGATAGCGATGCTGAAAGCGAAGTGAGCCAGGAAGATGAGAAAGCAGAAGAGCCAAGTATCTATCAAACTACAGACGAACATTCTGACTCTGCCTCTGAGTCGGATTGGTTGAACGACTCGCCTGAGCCCCCGATAAGAAAAGGGGCAAGGTTCTTGAGTAGCCAGCCATCAAAGACAGTTGCTACCAGGGAGCGTATTCCATCAATCAAAAATGCTCCGAGTCGTCAACCAAACCCCTCTACAAGCATTAGCAATAAAACACCCCGCGATACGGTCAAGAATACTTCGAGTAAAGAGGTTTTTGGGTCCAAGAAGACCAGCCAAAGTGGAAAACGGCTTGTTTCAGGGACGACCACCTCGGACCTTGCAGACACATTATCTAAGCTGCGGCTACAGCTCGAGGACTTTTCAGATGAGGAGAGCAGAGTATCGAAGATAGACGAGTTCACCACACCACCCAGTACTCCTCCTAAAGCACCCAAGGCAAGAGGGCTTGCATCACCAACCAAGAAAATACAGATCCCTAAGACGCCACATCGTCCAAGTATGGATGCCTTTTGGAACCAGGACTTTGTCAATGATTGGAACGACCAGCACTCGCCACGCAAGCTCATCCTCCCCCCCGTTACCAAGAGTCCCAGCAAGGCGAGCCCAAAGAAAGAGCCCAAGAAGGAGACCAAAAAGTCATTTGAATCTAGAAAACATGCACTGGCCGAAAGCTTTCTATCCGAACTCGATCGCGAGATCACACAGGGTAGGATTGCCGAGCTTGCCGAATCCACAGGCGGCGTCAAGCTCGTTTGGACGAAAACACTTAATACGACGGCTGGGCGAGCAAGTTGGCGTTGTGAGACTATCAGGACGACACGCAAGGCGGAAGACGGCCAACCCATCAAGACATTCAAGCATCATGCATCAATTGAACTTGCCGAGAAGGTCATTGATGACGAGAACCGCCTACTCAATGTCATGGCACATGAGTTTTGCCATCTCGCCAACTTCATGGTCAGTGGCATAACGACAAACCCTCACGGTCGAGAGTTCAAGGCTTGGGCGGCCAAGTGCTCGGCCAAGTTTGGTCATCGCGGTATCGAAGTGACGACCAAGCACAGTTACGAAATCGACTTCAAGTACGTCTGGGAGTGTGAAGAATGCGGAGTTGAGTACAAGCGGCACTCCAAAAGTATTGATACCCAGCGATATAAATGTGGGAAGTGCAAGGGCAACTTGAAGCAGACCAAGCCAGTACCCAGGGGAGCAGCAGCAGGCAAAGCACCGAGCCGATATCAGGCGTTTGTGAAAGAGCAGATGGGTGTGGTCAGAGGAGAGAACCCGGGCAGTCCCCAGAAGGTGGTCATGAAGCTCATTGCAGAGAAGTGGGCGAAGCAAGATGGTGGTAAGACTGGAAGCAAAGCGGCTAGCGAGCTGGGAGTTGAGAGTGTTGTCGACAAGATAGTTGATCTAACTATTGAGGCTGAAGCATAAATGCATAACTAGGAGTTTGTTTGTCTATACCCATTCAATATTATAATTTTCGCGTCTGAGTTAACTGAATTCACCTGCGTTCTCACTCACCCACGACGCTGCCTGTCAAATTCCAGACTATAAGATATCATTTAACATATAACATATCTGGGAACAAATACTCTCCAGCTGGCAGATGTACTGCCTTCACTACCCCCAGGGAAGCTCATCGATTACCCTGTATTAACTGGCAAGCTTTCAAGAAACTAGAGTGATGATAGAGTGTATATAGTCACTGTGTTGCGAATGCAGACAAGGATCGATTTGAGTCTTATCAGCCAGCAGTTTCTTAAAATTATTGAGCTTCCCAAGCTACACATGTCTGAATGCTCACCAACATGGCCGTCTATCATGACATGTTGTCATGTCCGTCTGAAAGCAACTTGTGAGCGTGCATATTCCTGGATGCTAGAGAACCATACTTGTCATGTCCAAGATTGTATATTCATCCATCGACAAAGAAAACAAGTCGTAAGTCGTGGTAGTCATCTCATGATATCCTGCTCTTTCCTGCCGCACCCCCTCCGTAATCTGAATATGTTCTCCGTTTGCTTTTAACAAACTTCAACTAGTTTAAGCTTCACCGAAGAGGCCCCAGTCCTTGATCTTAAATGTCGACCAGATAGTGGCAGAATACTCAACAGCAGCGCCGATGAGCTTACCCTGACGTCCAAGTTCAAGATCAACCTCCGCCTCGTCATACTCTCCCTTGATATGAGGGACATTGATTGTGATGAGAATATCAGTCTTGGCCTTTTCGAGCCGCAAAAGAGTTAGGATGATGGCGGTGAAATCGGGCGCAGATGTTGAGTCGCGGGACTGGTTCACGCGAGGAGTCTGTGTGGAAATAAGTGTGTAGGCGGGAGTACCAGGTCTACAGATATCAGTAACTGCCACTTCCAGAATGCATTTGAGACAACATACTCTAGATTCGAGAACTCGGTCTCGGCAGTGTTCCAGATCTTGACGGTATCGATATCCGAACCAACCATATCTTCAAGATGAGTTGTCATGGCACGACCATCCACCTCAGGACCTGAGCCAGAGCCTCCAACACGCTCTGTGATGTCGACGATGATGCTAGTGAAACCATCCTGATCGATCCAGACTTCTTGATTATCGGGAACTTGTCGCAACTTGCTGCAGCGCATAGAGTCAGCACAGGAAAAGGTGTAGTTAGGCGCAAAGAGCAATGAAGACGAACCTGACGTCGGCGAACTTGGCGGGCAGGTCGCAAGTGATTGCACCGCCAAAGAGAGGTGTGTTGATGTATTCAGGCATTTCGCTTGAGGAAATGCGATGGTTGTATATGGTTTAGCCCCTGCACGTTCGTCCGTCGCAAACTCGAAGGTGTCGATCGTACTATGTACTAAGCTAAGGAGCAGTCGGCGGCGAAGGTTGGAGTATATATGCTTCGGAGGGTTAAGCTCGTGACTCGTACGGGTACTGACTGACTGGAACAGCAAATCTTGGCAAAAAAAAAGTGCTACAAGGTAGAAACTGGGCGCCTGAAAGTGGGCGAAGAGTGATGGATCATGGGTTGGTACGGTTATGCCTTGGGAACACAGGCAGTTTAGTACCTAGTAGTTTCCAGGTACCTCCCTTATTGTGTTTGGAGGGGCTGAGGCGACCCCGCTGAGATGAAGATGACGTAAAAAACAAGGCGCAGAAAGAAGCCTCACTTCTAGAAATACAGGTATGAAGGGTATTAAAAAAGCACCAAAAGAGCTTCATCTGTCTTAAGAAATACCAAAAACAAAAGATCAACCAAAATATTACGCTAATGATTGCTTAGGAATCCAAAAATGGAACAAAAATCAAAATTCGAATCTAGAGTCTCTAGACGAATGGTTTCCAAAGATTAGGTGAATGGAGTCTGTTGGGCCAATCCCACGGTCACATCTGGTAAAAGGCAAGAGGTGAGTTCGATGGGAGGTCCCACTCCGAAAGAAAGGAGTGTAATTTGAACTCATATACCCTCATTGTGAGCACAGCAGCCAATCAACGCTCACACCGGCTGCCCCTCACAGCTCCATCTCTCTCTGAGTGTTGCCTCATGTAATCTGATCCTTCAATTGATAATTGACCTTCAACTTGTTCTCTGATTCTTTTTCTCCATTTGTTTTTTCTCAACAACTGAAAGTCAAGATGTCCTCCTGCATTTTCTGTCGCATCATCAAGGGTAAGAGAAGGGGGAAGCAAGGTGGTTGAATGAGTGGAGAGTATCTAGGGAGTTGCTGAGGGGAGAGTATGTTGAGGATGTTCATCAGCTCTTTTGTCTAACTCCTGATCTTCGTGTAAACTGACTTGATCCTTCACTAGGTGATATCCCCTCTTTCAAGCTATTTGAGAGCGACAAGACTCTCGCTTTCCTTGATATTGGTCCCCTCAGCAAGGGCCACGCTGTATGTTCTCAACAGCTCACTCATGAGCCCACTGACAAGATATAGCTTGTAATTCCCAAGCACCACGGTGCTAAGCTGGCTGATATTCCTGACGACCACCTCACCGAGATTCTGGCAAGTATTGGGACGTTGGTGATGAATACTTAAGTCTAATTGTGTTCATAGCCTGTTGTCAAGAAGATTGTCAACGCAACTGGTGCCACCGATTACAACATCCTCCAGAACAATGGCCGCATTGCTCACCAAGAAGTTGACCATGTAAGTCTATCATACCAACTCCAAGGTATAAAGAAACTAATATAGTCCTAGGTTCACTTCCATATGGTAACAAGATCAAGCCTAAACTACCGTTGAGCTACAACTGACAAGTACTCAGATCCCTAAACCCAACGAGACCGAGGGCCTCGGCGTCAAATGGCCCACAAAACCTGCTGATATGGAACAGCTCAAGGCTTACTGTGAGGAGCTCAAGGCCAAGATCTAAAGAGCTTTGATACACGCATATGCGGCAGTGTTCAGCTAGGAAACTAGGGAATTGGTTCATGAAGAGCCCTTCTAGTATTATTGTCCAGTTACCAGGTACCATCCTGCCCCGCCAAATCAACCTGATAATCTACAATCCAAGTCCCTTTGGTGCTTCACACGTCTCGTCTAGTCTAAGTCATTAGCAGAAGTGCTGGTTCCCGCAGCAGCCGGTGGCTTGAGCGAGTACCAGTCAGTCTTGCCATCGCTCTGTATCGCACCCTGTCTGTCGTAGAGTGTTCGTGCTCGGATATATGGGTCAAGATTCCAATAATCCTCCTTGAGAAGTTTCGCAATCTTCTCTCGCTCAACCTTGAGTTGTTTGCCCTGCTCACCATCAGGATGACGGATCCATTCCCTAGTTGTATGCTCGAATTTCTTGACCAACTCTTCACGGTCAGTCAAAAGACGATTCCGGGTTTGCGTATCCTTCATCTTGTCATTTTCGCCAGCAATAGGCTCGATGTACTTGTACTCCCAGTTCTCATCGCCTTCAAGCTCCTTGATCAGATGGTCCGGAGCGATGAACTCCTCGAGTTCAGCCCGGTTGTTAGTGAAGTGAACCTTGGCTGCCACCACAGGGTCAAGCCAGCCACGAATGACCTTCCAAATACCTTATTTCGAGTCAGTACTTGTGTTCGCTCTGAAAACAGCAACATACCTTGGAAAAGCCAGGGAGCTTTGTGCACAAGGACGGCACCTAAAGACTCGGGATAGTTGGCCTCGAAGCACTTAATCATGAATTTAACAGGTGTGTAGTCCATGTTGGCCATAGAGAAGCCAGTCATGTCGAAAACAATGCACTGCGTTTGCATGTCAGTGTTACACTCTGATTTTTGGACCGAGGGCACTTACAGCTGTATCAACAGGGGGTTGAAGGGTCATGCGCGCTGTCTCAATAATGTAGACTGTGTACTTTTCCAGACTTTCTTCGCACTCTTGCCCAGCCTTGTGCAAGCGAACCCGGACGACACAGATAGGTCGGCCTTGCTTATCAGTGCCGTGCAAAAAACTCTTACCCATTCGGAGTTGCTTCATCATGTCGGCGCTAACTTGCTTGGTCGGAGAATCGGTCTTCTCATCCTCAACCGCAAAGGCATCCCCGTTCTTCATGATTTCAGAGTCTACCTTCATGTCGTTATGCCTCCAATGCATAGTGGACACCAACATGACGAGAGCCTTCTCGACATCCCACTTTCGTGCTCTGAGAAAGCGCAGAACAAGGGCATCAGGGTGATCGTGCTTCACCATAGACCATATCGTGTGTCGGATTGTTTCAGGGGACTCGTTGGCCAAAGTCTCATGGAATTGTTTGGTTTCATTGTACTTGTCCTCTTCAGCGGAAGCTTCAGTTGGTGTCGAAGTACCGGATTTGCCTTTCTTGAACATGCCGAATCCTCGCTTCTTCTTAGGATCAGCCTCTGCTGGACTCGCCTCCTCTTTTTGGGGCAAAAGGTTGGCACCAGAGCTCTCCTCATCGGCGACGCCAGTGAGTTGGAAGACAGCGGCCCATAGCTTGCGAAGCTTCTCCTCCTGCTCGGGAGTCAGGTTCCCCGGGCGCCCAGGGGGTAATTGGAAAGACATGATCTCGAACTCTTCTGGTGGGGGCTGGTTGCTGGGGCTTCCTGCAGGCCAAGCTGATATAGCAACAACAGCCGCAATGACTGCTACAGCTACAGCAACTGAGTAAAGCGAGTTGGCCTCGAGGGGAAGTCTGCTACTTGGATTTGAGCCGGCTTTGCTGTATAATGTCCGTTTGATGGCAATTGAATGAATGAGGTTCCTTGAACCAGTGAGATATCTCGCAGAGGCGATGCTCCTGGCATATGCAGGGGTTCCTCGTGAGTTTGTAAGGGGTAGTCTCAGTAAGCTGGAAGAAAGGACAGATGACCGTAGCTGGAGGTGGCGCGAAAGTGGCTGAGGAGAGTATTTAAGAGGGCTATACGAGCATAGATTCCGTCCCAGTTGAGTCCTCATGGGTAAAGGGTTGAGAAAGATATGTCAGATTTGCAAACGCGTACACATACGCCGCAAAACTCAACGGTGGTAGGTAATAAATCAATGTCGTCGTTTATGGGGATTTTTAGAATGCGGGACACTCTTTCTTGGGCGTGGTATTGGCTCCACAGATCCTCAAAGCTGCCCGCTTTGCAGGTACAAAGTTGGAACAATCCGCTGACAGGCAGGCCTCCAGGATTGATGGTGGCTATGAATCGTTCGGAATTTTCACTGGATGGTACGAGCGTAATAAAATAGAACAATCTGTTAATGCTCAAGATGTGTTCGGAGCTTGCAAGACCCCGGTTTCCGCGGATGAAGAGTGGATGGGTTCAAGTACTGACGTAGGGCATTTGTTAGCGTTCGGAGTACTCGGGAACCAAGATTGGAGGCCTATTATTGATGTTGACGCTGTTCTGTCACATACCTCAAGAACCCCAACTAAGATGCCTATACTGAACAAAAGGTGACACATTACCAAGACCTTAGCCAGAAGAGAAATTAGCAAGACATTTGAAAACGATTGATAATGAAGTACGGATACGTTAAATGTGAGCGTGGCTGTGCCCCCTACCCTACAAGCTAGCTAGGTACCTACTAGTAGCTAACAGCTTGAAGACAAAGAATCCTGCGATATCCTACGGTCAAGGGGCCCCATGTTCTGCAGTCGATGTAAAATGAATGTTCATAACATGGCAGTGTGCTCCAATAAAGTCTCCCTACAATGGGCTTTTCTTTATTTGGTCTGTATCTATCGTATGTCTTCGTCATGTCTGCCCCTGAATGGAAAACTGCTCACGCGACACCTCTCAAATATGGATAGTAGAGATTGGCAAACACAATGTTTGATGTGATGAGTGCAAAAAAAAAAAAATCATATTAAATTAAAAAAGCAAGTAAGCTTCGAGACCAATTGATATCAAATTCGGGCAAGATGTAAAGTACATATCATGCTATCTGGGCAATGGAAGCGTCGTGGTTAAAGCCACATCCACATGGGACTGGGAGCTCCATCTTGAAACGATTTGTGGGGGCGCCACAGCAGACTTCCCTCCAGTGTTTGTTGACTTTCGTACAATCCAACTTCAGTCGCGATATCGATACGCGGATTGCATTACCCAGAACGCCAAGCCACGAATACAAGAAACAATACACAGAAGCAGAGCTGCGAATCCGAAACACAGTACAAAAGCTGCAAAGATGTCGACTACACCTCTTGATCCCAGCAAACGCTCAAATTCTCGTTCCCGAACTTCACGACCTACCACCCCGCTGCGACCTTCATCCCGATCATCCTTTCGCGAGTCTGCGCGAGGTGCTGGAGAACATGATGCGCCATTTCCGCTGAATGCGTTTGAGCCAGCCTTTGCTGAGCTGTCCGATGCCATGGCCGACCTCGAGGCGAATATGATGCATTTTCAGCTTATGCACGAGAGTTTAGCGAGATTCAGCGAATCGTTCGCGAGCTTCCTTTATGGCCTGAATATGAATGCCTTTTGCGTTGATTTCCCAGAGGTATGTCTATCGAAGCTATCCGCATGGAATATGCACGGTTTTGTCATTCTAAGGCTGATTCTCGCAGGGACCTGTTCCAGAATCCTTCCGCAGAGACAGAACCCAACCAGAACAACCCGCCATGACCCCATCAAAATCAGAGGCTGATGCAGAAATGACGTTCATGTAAGTCTATTTATTAAGACCTTTATTGGCCCTTCTAACTAGCCTCCAGGACCACTGACACGTCCTTTGTCGAGAACCCTCCTACTACCACCAAGTCTTCTAAATTCACCACACCAGAGCCTCCAAAAAGACAATCACGTCTCCCTGCTGCTCCCGGTCGAGGGACATCGTCTCGGGGAAGATCGACTCGCGGTGTTGGACGTAGCCGGCCTAGTGGACTGGCCAGAGCGCGTGGTCGTGGTGTCAGGTGAATATAATCGGGACATCGACAGAAATATTCCAAAACGCCATTTGCAATGTCAAAAATCAAGCCCAGCTCCGATGCGCCCTAGGATTTTATATCCCCCTTTTTAGCGTGCTATGAAGAATTTTATCGGACAAGATTTAGGCGTCCATGGCAACATCATTATCTTGGTCGGTAAATGTACGCTTTCGGTCGCCGTTATCTGTTCGCAAGCCGACGGCAGCTTCGGCCTCCTGTTGAGTGTATGGTCCTTCGGCGATCTGCTTGACTCTGGTGGGGAGTTAGTAAACATGTCAGAATAGACAGATAGATATCCATTGCGAGTCACTATATGACTTACCTTCTCTTGTGAGGCTTTCCCTTTTGATGCGAGACAAGAGTAGCGTCCGTATCAAACCATTTGGAGCACTCAACACAGTAGTGACGCCCAAGGCCGGGAAGGTCCTCAGCAGCCTTCGTCTCCATGAATTGTTTCAGATGCTTGGGTGACATGAGGTCGGCCTTGACCTGGTCGACGTCTCTAGTCTTGCGCCTTGTCTTGGTGATTGTTTTCTTGTTTGTGACACCCATCTTCGCGGTGACTTGGACGAATGCGATTCTTGAAGTATGCTATTCCAGATTGTGATATTGTTAACTTCAACACTTCAAGCTAGGCGGTCGTTGAGGTTGGCGATTTTCGAAAAAAGTTCCGGTGGGGCTGATCCGATAAGGCGATAAGACGGATGCGGGGCAATACCACAGTTCGAATCTGGATAAGGCACGATATCACAACCTCAAAAATCATGTTGGAGAAACTATGAGTAGAAGAAATAGAAGGCAAGTGACGAGAGACAAAACGACAGAACAATAAAACTGAACAAAGTAAAATGAAAAGTCTACAAGGGAAAGGTCCCAAATATCATTGTAATCTTCTGACAACGACTAAAAACCTCAGCATTGGGTTAGTAAGGGAAACATCAGTGTAAATAGACTTGTAAAACGGAATTAAGACCAGCTCAATTTTTGCATTGTCGTTGGAGTCCTCCGTTCTCTGATCTTTAGTTTCATTCTAATGCTCTGTCATGCTTGAAAAGAAATTTCATCGAGTCAATCCGCGTTCAACCTCCCATAAAATTGAGATATGCTGTCACATGCCCAGCCTTCCAGCCTGTTAGCCTGTTCAGCTATCAGATGGGAATTGACCGGGCTTGGTGATACCCGGCGGATAGCGGGTCTGGGGTCGCCGGCTCCGGGATCAACGATCGGCAAAGAGCAAGTTACTATGTAGACTTCAAGCCCGGGAGGACCAGAAGAAGGACGCTTGCACGGTTAGATGGGCGTTTGCTTAGCCGTCTGCGCTGTACTAGAAAATGCGACTGTGTTGATAGGCTCCAAGTGCTCCATCAGTGTTGTGGGTTACGACACAGGGCGTTGATAATGCGGCTTAGAGGTGGACAAGAGCCTACAATCGGTTCCAAGAACGGATATGAAGATTATAATCGCCTCAATTATCATTGGATAATACATATGAGCAGGGCGGTCTTCGGCATGACATTTGGCAGAACCACAATTGGGGTGTGCATACAAGGGCATAGGGGGTTGGGGTTTGGTGAAAAGCTTCACATTCCCCCTCGTTCAAGGGCTACCCCAAATTCCCTCAACCGCTCGCAGATGAAAATTGAATTCCGAAAAAACAGTGTTTGAAGCCAAAAAAGATCGGTGACCGAGCATCATGACCTCGGAGGATCGCATGTGCGAAGGGATATGTCCGTTCAGCGGCGACCGAAGGTAAAGCCGCTGGCCCGAGGAACTGTAGCGATTAAACCCTGTGAAGCGAGTCAGAGTTTTGGCCAACCAGAGAGCATCTTTTGTCATTGATTGTGAGGTTCCGGGGCGTGATGGACGCCTAGACCGTTTCGGGGCCCACGATGCGGAAATTACATCATGGTCCGGGGGCTCACGCCGTAACGGGTGCCCGCAAGACCGAGGTAACAGCAACTGCCTCGCAACCAGAGGGAAAAAAAGAGAATCAAATCGTGGCTCCTGTGGAAGAAGATGAACATTACTATGTATGAGATGGAAATGGTGTTGACATAACAAGATGTAGAACAAGACTTGTACAATGAGATGATGTCCTTTGAAATCTCTACAACATTTGATAAGAATTTAAAAACAAAAAAATACATAAACTTTACGTCCGTTTCTTGCTTGAGCTAAATTATAGAACCCAATTGCTGCATTAACCCAGATAAACACATGACCGGCTGAAGAGCATAAAATCCTTACCTGCTCGGCAGCACATTCCCCCACCTTCTTCCTTCAACCCACCCGAAAAGCTTCAACTTCTTCAGTTGAACATTCGCAATCACCCTTCAAGCATAATCGAGTCACTCATCGACCGATATTGGGTCGTAAGTCAATTACAGTACCCAACAGTCGTCGTTAATCACTCTTTGCTAATGACAGCCCCCTCACAGCACCGTAGTCGCAATGCTTGCTACACGCCAGGTCCTGGGCAACATGTCCCGGAGCCGCGCCCTTGCTGGCGCTGCCTCTGGCTTCCGCCGCATGGCCACAGTCTCAGATAGCCCTCTGGACAAGAAGGTAAGCCTCAAACCAATTGCATTGTTGTCTCTTGATTCCATGACACGAGGCTTCATCACCCCCTCTTTGCACTATCATCCAGACGCCAGTCCCCTTGGCGCATGGGCCGTTTCGGCTGCCAATCCACCGGCAATGCCGAGGCTTGAACTGCGCTACTGGTAGCCCAATGGCAACGAGAGAATATGAAGCCCTGGTTATGGACTCAGGAAGATGGAAGACATGAGATTCAGGCAAAATTGTGCTAATATGCCTCGCTGGACAGGTCCGACAGAACAACTGGGAGGAGGGTAACTACATCAACTACAAGAAGATGTCCGAGAACCTCGACATCGTTCGTGCTCGTCTGAACCGACCTCTGGCCTACGCTGAGAAGATCCTCTACTCTCACTTGGACGACCCTCATGGCCAAGACATCCAGCGTGGCAAGAGCTACCTCAAGCTGCGACCTGACCGTGTTGCTTGCCAGGATGCCACCGCTCAGATGGCTATCCTTCAGTTCATGTCTGCTGGCATGGATAAGGTTGCCAACCCCACTACTGTCCACTGTGATCACTTGATCGAGGCCCAAGTTGGTGGTGCCAAGGATCTTGCCCGCGCTATTGACATTAACAAGGAGGTCTATAACTTCCTTTCTACTGCTTGTGCCAAGTACGATATCGGTTTCTGGAAGCCCGGCTCTGGTATTATTCACCAGATTCTCCTCGAGAACTACTGCTTCCCTGGTGGTCTTCTTATCGGTACTGATTCTCATACTGTCAACGGTGGTGGTCTCGGTATGGCCACCATTGGTGTCGGTGGTGCTGATGCTGTTGATGTCATGGCCGACCTCCCCTGGGAGCTCAAGGCCCCTAACGTTATTGGTGTCAAGCTCACTGGTCAGCTTAACGGCTGGACTGCTCCTAAGGGTAAGGATGAACTCTCTTCTTCCTGACTTAGCTGACACATCTTCAGATATTATTCTGAAGGTTGCCGATATCCTTACTGTCAAGGGTGGTACTGGTGCTATTGTCGAGTACCACGGTCCTGGCACTGACGCTATTTCTTGTACCGGTATGGCCACCATTTGCAACATGGTAAGTGACTCTTGATCCTCGATGAACAGGATTATTGGCTGATATTTTCCAGGGTGCTGAAATTGGTGCCACCACCTCCGTCTTCCCCTTCAACGACCGCATGTACGACTACCTCGCCGCCACCAAGCGAAAGGAGATCGGTGACTTCGCCCGCCAGTACGCCCACGGCCTCAAGCCTGACGAGGGTGCCGAGTACGATCAGCTCATCGAGATCAACCTCTCCGAGCTCGAGCCTCACATCAACGGTCCTTTCACTCCTGATCTGGGTACTCCCATCTCCAAGTTCAGCCAGGCTGTCAAGGAGAACGGCTGGCCCGAGGAGCTCAAGGTCGGTCTTATCGGATCTTGCACCAACTCCTCTTACGAGGACATGACCCGTGCTGCTTCCATTGCCCGTGATGCCCTCAACCACGGCATCAAGGCCAAGTCCGCTTTCACTGTCACCCCCGGTTCTGAGCAGATTCGCGCCACCATCGAGCGTGATGGTCAGCTCCAGACCTTCGAGGAGTTCGGCGGCATCGTCCTTGCCAACGCCTGCGGTCCTTGCATTGGTCAATGGGACCGACGCGACGTCAAGAAGGGTGAGGCCAACTCTATCATCTCTTCTTACAACCGTAACTTCACTGGCCGAAACGACGGCAACCCCGCCACTCACTCTTTCGTCGCCTCTCCCGATCTGGTCGTCGCCATGACGATTGCCGGCTCCCTCCACTTCAACCCTCTTACCGATACCCTGAAGGACAAGGACGGCAAGGAGTTCAAGCTTGCCCCTCCCACCGGCGATGGTCTCCCCAGCAAGGGCTACGACCCCGGTCAGGACACCTACCAGGCTCCTCCCAGTGACCGTGCCAGCGTCACTGTTGATGTCGCCCCTACCTCCGATCGTCTCCAGATCCTGACTCCTTTCCAGCCTTGGGATGGCAAGGATGCTAAGGACATCCCTATCCTTATCAAGGCCAAGGGCAAGACCACCACTGACCACATCTCCATGGCCGGTCCCTGGTTGAAGTACCGTGGTCACCTTGATAACATCTCCAACAATATGTTGATTGGTGCCATCAACGAGGCCAACGGTGAGGCCAACAAGATCAAGAACTTCACCAATGGTGAGTGGGGTGCTGTCCCTGCTGTCGCCCGTGACTACAAGGCCAAGGGTATTAAGTGGGTTGTCGTTGGTGACTGGAACTATGGTGAGGGTTCTTCCCGAGAGCACGCCGCTCTTGAGCCCCGTCACCTTGGCGGTCTTGCCATCATTACCCGATCTTTCGCCCGTATCCACGAGACCAACCTGAAGAAACAGGGTATGCTTCCTCTTACCTTCACCGATCCTGCCGATTACGACAAGATCCGACCCGATGACAAGGTCGATGTCCTCTGCACTCAGCTCGCCGTTGGCAAGCCCCTTCCCCTTGTTGTCCACCCCGCCGACGGCAGCCCATCGTTCGAGATCCCTCTGTCCCATACCTTCAACGAGGCCCAGATCGAGTGGTTCAAGAACGGCTCTGCCCTGAACACAATGGCCAAGGCCACCAAGAACTAAAGAAGGAATGACGTAAAGTAAAGAAGAGCAAATTGATATTTTGGGTCACATACGGCGTACATCCTGGTGTTCTCGATTGGGTTTCGAGGGCAGACAGTAGAGGGGCTTTTCAACGGACGGTATATGTCTAAAATGTTGAGCGCCCATGTCTTTTACATATTTGTAGCAAAGGAATAGCCATGCTTTCATTAGTTGTAACAAAATTCCAACCGTTCAAAACCTCTTGTTTTTAAGTAATGCATCTGCTTCATTCATGTTGTGCCACGGTTATACCTGGTATCGATCTATCGTGCCAGCCTGTTGAGATATGAGGCTCGAGCAATGGTGTGAACGCCTCCTCAGGCTCCTAATTTTCTACTCCTGCCTGCCTGCCTACCTGCCTGCCTACCTACCTATCTCCTCAGTGCCCATGGATCCTCGAACATTTTGAGCACCCCGTGATAACTACGTCCCAAACACAAGTACATCGCCCAGCTTTCATATCAATTGTGGCCGTGCACTGATCACGTGCTGATACAAGTCAAAAGCCACACCTCGACCTAAGGGTCAAGGGTCCGTTGTCCAGTTTGACTTGCCATCGTCCTGCGACTGTTTCTAAGGGCGTGGAAGTGATTTGCGATTTCAACTGGCCTTTTTCTTATTGCCAAGAAACTCGTATTAGTTCCCTTGCTTCTATCTTATTATCCTCTCCGTGCCGTCGGTCCTTTCATTCCTTTAAAACGGTGATCATCCGGCTGCTCCGAGCAGCTCGAATCTATTAGACATGCGACCCCGTCTCCAGAACTTCAACGCTTTACGAGCCCGATCATATCTGACAAGGCTGCCGCTATTCACACGACTTATCATTGTCGCTATTGTTGCTCTCGCGATCGCATCGCTACAATCAGTATGGAACCTACGAGAATGGGGTGCCCTCATCCCTGAAGAGATTAGCATTACAAATGGTACTACCAAGCGATATTGAATCATGGCGCATTTGCTAACTAGACTTGTTCAAAGCATATCGGTTGTCGACATTCCCGTTAATACATCTTAACATTATCCATGCCATCCTTAACCTCGCGGCGCTTACTCCTCTCATGGAGCGATTCGAGAACGAACATGGCACCTTAACATCCCTTGCTTTGTTCTTTGGACGTAAGAAACCTCAGATATGCTAAAGGGCTATGAGTTGACTTGTTTTTTTTTTATCTAGCCTTGACATCGATACCGGCTGTCATGTACGTTCTGATCGAGCGATATGTATTCCACGTAAACCATGGCGTTCTGGGAGCGAGGTATGGCGACGAGGAAATTGTTAGAAAGGAACCTGGACTAATATTTGTTCTAGCATGTGGGTATTCACTCTACTGGCGATGGAGTCTATTCAAACGTACAAAACCAACCCTCATTTCGTTGTCGGTACTGTCCATATCCCAACGTGGACTACCCCCTTAATCATGTGTATGGTTGTGAGGGCATTGGTACCTGGTACTAGTCTTCTTGGCCACCTATGTGGAATTGCAATTGGATATGTCGGTAAGTCTCACAGTCCCTGTCGTGGTCGACAGGAAACTAATAGCTAGAATAGCTGGCTTCGGGTATGCCAAGCTGCTCGCCCCCCCTGAATGGGGTCTTCGATGGGTCGAGAATCGACTCAACCTGCTCAAGATTCTCCCTCACTATGTTAGCATCGACAAGACAACATATGGCCGATTTGGTGTTTTGCCCACAACCAACCGCCCTGGTCCCAGTGGCAGCGCAGCGACGGAGCTGGTTGGTACAACCCAGCGTCTCGGACCTTGAACGAGCGTACATGGTGCGCGTGTAATTTTGTGTAACTGTAATGCTACGGAAGTGCTTGTTGCACGCTCTTTTTTCGAATTGTACTATAGAAAGGGCATTTCATTTTTCGTGGAGTCTCTCGCGTTAGGGATTGGCGTAGCGATTAAAAGCAAAGGAATGAATGGACGTCCGGACTGGTTCATCTAGAGAGCTGGTCATGATCCTTTCCGCTATGAACTATTTCAGGTATTATTATAATGGATGAATCGACAATAAAGGTAGAGGACGAAGATTGTTTCAGTTGTCATGATGGCTCATCCGTTGTCATTGCTTTGACGTGTCTGCAACAGTCTGGATGTGTCTAGGTACTCTTGCAGTGAGTTCTTGATTCCATTATGATACTGCATGCCTACAGTAGAGACAATCCATGCCTGAACACTATTATTGAAGCACTACCTACCTAGTGTTAGGCTTGGTTCTAATCTCAACAACTATTTAATGCTGTAGCTCTCGATCGACAAGAACCCCGGTAGCCGCATAGACTGCCCCGCATTCACTGCAGGCGGCCCGCAATCCATCCCCCTGAAGCCGGGGGGGGGGGGGGGGAGCTTCCGTTTAATGGAAAGCTGTCATGACGGTACGTACCCTCTTTAATGATTGAATCTCATTGCTTCCAAGAGGCTAAGCCAACGAGAACCTCAACCTCAACTCAAGCATCGAGAGACCAAGTCTTTGACCACAAAGACATTGGCTAAACGATGTCGCGACTACTTTGTATGCAATCGCCTCTCTCATCCCATATTCTGACCATCGGCTAATATGTTCTATAGCTTCAGCGCTGTCGCTACGTCGCGATCCTCGTATTCTAAAACTCCCCCCTTACTTGTCCTTCCTCTGCATCGCGATCGGTGTAATCTGGCTCTTTCTTCTGCCATTAAACGAATACTCGCGTCGGACGTACATCTCAGAGAATGCCCTGTTGCCAGGTCAAGTGCATACATATTTTGGAGGAAGCGAACAAAACATCTTCCGCGCCTACCGACATGAGGTTGACAATTTAGTCGACAAGAACAACTATGAGTGCGTCTTGACATGGATCTGGAGAAATAGAGCAGTCACTAACCTGGGCTGGTTACAGGATCAACGACAGGCTCGGCAAGATTCTCACTGGTGTTGGATTAAAGGTTGGGCGTCAAAATTACACCTACCACTCAGCTGGCCATGAGTACTCAGGACAGAACCTCTACGCAATCCTGCAAGCTCCCCGTGGTGATGCCACCGAGGCAATTGTATTGGTAGCTGCATGGAAGAACGTTGAGGAGCAGCTCAACCGCAACGGCGTATCTCTGGCATTGACTTTGGTCCGTTACTTTAAACGTATGTACCCCTGGAACTTAAACCAAGCGATAGATGCTGACAAGTATAGGCTGGTCACTCTGGTCTAAGGACATCATTCTTGTAGTTCCTCCCGATAGCAAGACAGGCACGCAGGCTTGGGTTGACGCATACCATGATGCTCATAACCCTGATCTTGTGGCTCCTTTGCCTCTCAAGTCCGGTGCTCTTCAGGGTGCCCTTGCTATCGACTACCCCCAAGAACAGAGCTTCAAGTCTGTTCATGTGATTTATGATGGCCCTAATGGCCAGCTTCCTAATCTCGATCTTATCAACTCAATCGTCAACATTGCTGGTGGCCAGATGGGTATCGGTACTTCTATTCAGAAGATGACAGAGCACAAGGGTACCTACCCTGATCGTTTACAAACTATGTTGCGTGGCATGCTCAACCAAGGTCTCGGGTATGCAGCTGGTGCTCACAGCAGCTTCATCCCATATCACGTTGATGCCGTGACACTTCAGCCTTACGGCGAAGGATGGCATGATGAGATGGCCATGGGACGCCTGGTTGAGGGGTCATTCCGAAGTCTGAATAATTTGCTTGAGCATCTACATCAGAGTTTCTTCTTTTATCTTCTGATGCAGACCGATCGCTTCGTTAGTATCGGTACTTATCTTCCCAGTGCTATGTTGATTGCTGCCAACTTTACCATCATGGCAATCTCTCTCTGGGTCAAGAGCGGTCAATCACCAGCGACGCAGAAACCCAAGGAGAAGACATCTACCGCATCTGTTGAAACAACACAAGCTGGACGGGATCTGTTTGTTCCGCTCGGTGTTGTTGCTGTCTGCCAGGGTCTCGCAGCTGTACCTCTGTACATATTCAACCACCTTCCCGCTGGCGTAAGTGTCACCCGATATCATCATCTTCCGGTCTTATACTGATTACCTCTAGTTACTCTCTCCCGCCTTTGCTGCATTCTCCGCCATCTCAGCCATCCTACCCTTCGCGATCTCTCGTCTCCTAACACTTGGCACCAAGCCCACGATGCAGCACTTCCAACTCACAAAGTCTTTCTCTCTTCTCGTTCTTGGCATGTGTCTTTCTACTCTTGCAACTCTCAACTTCTCTCTTGCTTTTCTCATAGGCGTACTCTCAAGCCCACTCAGCTTTGTCCAGCCGGTCAAGAGCCTGGGGCTTCGCTGGTCTCTAGCAGGTCTCCTCAATGTCGTGTCACCACCTACAGTTTTGTACGCTGCCGCCCAAATCTGGGACATTAGTATCGCGGACTTGCTAAAGGAGGCTAGCTTCGGCTGGAACGTCTGGGGTATGTACACACCCGTTGTAGTATGGTGCCTTTGGTGGCCAGCCTGGCTCGTAGGCATGGTCAATGTCTTCGGAGAGGTTACTGCTTGAGGGAAAATCAGGGGTTTGGGTTGTAAGATAGAGAGCAAAGCATGCATTGCGCCGCCAGAATGGTGGTTCTGATTTTGTAGTTTTAAACAAGGGCACATAGATTAGGCAAAATTTAGAATTAATAGTCTTGACTTGGGCAAAAGATCATCATCTGCCCACAGTAAAGTTTCTATTCGTCTATACTGTACATTTGTTCGTTTGATTGCCATACGTCCCCTAGACCGTACTCCGGTCGACACCTCGTTTAAGCAGCCCACACATCCTTGCCAGCCGACTCAATCCAGTTGCCAAGTTGGTTGACGCTTGAGTCCCAGTCAAGCAGTCGCTGGCGCATTGCAGCGATTTGTTTCATGTCGAGCACCTTGGGCTGAACCCAGGTAATTTGAGCGACGCCGTCAACTTGGTCAATAGTTCCCCGCAACAGACCTAGGCTAAGAGCCTTCATGATGAGATGCTCGATCTCTTCGGGTCGAACCTTGGTCTCCTGAGCGATGGTGACAAAGGTGAGGGTGCGGTCATGGGGAGGACGGCGGAAGACAGCCTCAGTCAATGCGGAAAGGTAGATCTTTTGCCGAAGATGCGTGGCGTTGTTCTTGAGAAGTTTGTTGGACTCGACGCGATCTGAGAGCTGGTCATAAGCGTCAAGATCTCCACGGTTAAAAGCAAATAGCAGATCACGCATCCAAGCATGCTCGCTCTTAGCGAGGACGTCAAGGATGGGGTGGAGCAGGAGCTCTCCGAAGTTGTAGATGCTTGTTGAAACAAGGGCAGCAATGCTGAGGTGGTATGCTCTCTTGTGTCGCTCCTCAGGAGTCATTGCGTTGAGGTCAATGCAGGCAAGGTAGAGGAGAGCAGTGCGGTAGTAGTTGGAGAAGTCCATCTTGCGCTAAGGGAGGGGTTAGCGAGGTTCACCAGATATCCAAAGTCTGAGATAAAGAACGTACCTGGTAGTAGATGGCATTTGCATCATAGAAAGCAGCATGAACCACATTCTCTACAGAGTCGAAAGAATCCAATATCCGCTCGGCTATATCCAGGTCCTTTCGCGCAGCATCTAGCTCCTCCAAGTCCAGCTTTGCTTGGGCGACAGCAACTAAAGCATAGACATAAGCATCCTGGGAGTTCTCGTTATCAACCTTCTTGGCGACTGATTGGAGGAAAGAAAGGCGCTGCTCGTCTTCTATGTCGTTCAAAAACCATCGATCAGTAACCCGCCGGCTTCGGAGCATGTTGCATCTAAATCTCACCTTCACACTCTGTTGCTGCTTTCAATGCTAGGTCCACGAGCTTCAACTGGTTGATCTTGTCGGCAAACTTGAGAATAAAAATTCTGTAGAATGGTAGTCGTTGAGGGGCGCTCTCGGGGTGGCTGAAGAACTCGACGAGGGCGTCAGTGAGCTGGTGCCAAAGCTTGCGCTCCCAGAAGTTCTCAAAGTCGAGAATGAGAGGCTGGAGCTCGTCGGGAGCTTCATCGCGCTGCTCGGCAAGAAAATCGGAAATGGCCTCGTTGCTCATGATGGCGAGATTCGTGATTGATGTCGGTGGAACCGATGTGTATGGGTGACGTGCACAGCAACTGAAGCTAGCTTGCCTGCAGCCTTAATTTATTGGCGCGTACTGCCCCGAAGCTGAATTTGCGAATTATGAGTCCTAGAAGCGTGGGTATGGCCTCTTCTCTGTTGGATCGTGTTGTCGTCAAGTAGCCGTCGTGATAATCGGTGAAACTGGTATGGTTGTAGAGGTTGATATTACTTCAGTGGAGTGTGGAGGGAGGTCCTTAGCTCATCAATGAGGCTACCAGGCAGCCTGGTCGTCGCAACGTACTAACCTACCTATCTATCTCAAGGGCGCACGGGCCATTTCGACCTCTGGAGGAGTACCTGAAAGGCGCTAACCAATGACAAGCTACAAGATTTCAGTGACCCATCACGTGATCTGCAATTGCCGTTCCCCGAGGCTCTAACTTGGCTAGCATCACCAAACACTGCTATCGAGACGACGAGACGTTCAACGGCCAATTGCGAGGCACAGCAGCGTTTTGTCACGCAATCTGTATATTCGCAAACATGGCTTCGCCTCTCTTTGCTGCGCGGGCGGCCCGCAAGGCTGCCTTCAATGTCGCCGGCAAGCGATACCTATCCGATATTTCCATTACCCGAACTGGCAAGCCTATCATGCGTGTTGAGGGAGGCCGGTAAGCTCAACCACGGCCCATTGACACTATTCCGATCTCCTCTAATGTTATTCTGCTTCTAGTTCATCCCTCGGAGGTACGATGATCGAGCTACGATGACCAAGAACAACACTGACGAGGGAAACCAGGCCATACTGTTACCGTATTTGGCGCAACCGGCCAACTAGGACGATACATTGTCAACCGACTGGGTGAGCCGACCTGAACCAGGAATTGGATAACTGGAATGGGCAATTGGAATACTGATACTGGCATTAGCCCGTCAGGGATGCACTGTCGTGATTCCCTACCGCGAGGAGATGTCCAAGCGTCATCTTAAGGTCACTGGAGATCTTGGCCGTGTTGTTTTCATTGTACGCCTCAATTCGTCCCGGTATGTTTAGGAACTTCTCAGTAACCCTTTTACTAGGAGCACGACCTTCGAAACACCCCTTCGATCGAGGCTAGCGTCCGACATTCCGATGCCGTTTTCAACTTGATTGGCCGCGACTATCCTACCAAGTACGTCAACTTGATATAGACCAGTAGGACGGGAACTAATGATTATCAGGAACTTCTCCTTGGAGGATGTGCACGTTGAGGGAACTGAGAGAATTGTCGAGGCTGTTTGCAAGTACGATGTCGACCGATATATCCACGTTTCCTCCCACAGCGCCAACTCTCAGTCCGTCTCCGAGTTCTACCGAACCAAGGTTCGTGGATCGTCAGCTTGGTCAATGGAGGGGAGATTGCTAACAAAGGATGCAGGGTCGAGCTGAGGAGGTTGCCCGACAACTTTTCCCTGAGACCACTATTGTCCGACCTGCGCCCATCTTCGGTTTTGAGGACAACCTGCTTCTGAAGCTTGCTGGTGTCACCAACCTCTTCACTTCCAACAACATGCAGGAGAAGTTCTACCCTGTTCACGTAGGTTTTTGCCAGAGTGCTTTGGGCCAACTTTACTAACCGCCACAGTCTATCGACGTTGGTGCTGCTCTTGAGAAGATCTTCTATGACGACACAACTGCTGGGCAGACGTTTGAGCTTTACGGACCCAAGAAGTACAGCATGGAGGAGATTTCTGTTATGGTTGATAAGGAGATTTACAAGCAACGACGACACATCAATGTGCCCAAGGCCATCCTTAAGCCTGTTGCTGAGATCCTGAACAAGTTCCTTTGGTGGCACACTCTGTCAGCCGATGAGGTTGAGCGAGAGTACTTGGACCAGGTCATTGACCCTGAGGCCAAGACCTTCAAGGATCTTGGTATTGAGCCTGGTGACATTATCAACTTCACCTACCACTACCTGGTGAGTGCCCCTTTCATGGTCGTGAAAGTCACAAACTGACACCCTTTTTAGCAAGGATTCCGAAGTCAGAACTTCTACGACCTCCCCCCTGCGACAGAGAAGGAGAAGAGGGAAGAGAAGAAGTACATCCATGTCTTGGATGAGTTGTAAAGAAAATGGATTTAAATTTTTGCTTATTGCGAATGCCGGAAAGGTGGCTGGTGATTCATGGCTGAGCGGACGAGTCGACAATAGTCCGTGCATATAGGACCGCATAGACTAGAGAGTATGCGAGTTCGAAAAATTGTACAGGTTTCCTTTTGGTTGAGATGATATCAGATAATATGAAGGTTGAGAGAATCAGTCCATGCGTGGCTACCCTACAGCTATCCATCATCGCATCCAATATGCAGCTCTTTGGTAGCGAGAGTCTAGACCGTCGAGGAAGCAGTGGCAGCCAGCAAAGAGGACCCCGCCAAAACCCCTGCACAAAACCTTGTATCGTATTGCATCGCATTTTGGAGCGACCGCATATCAAACAAGAAAAAGATACGTTTTGACGACAACATTCCGATGTCTTTTGGAGATGAAGAGCCCATGTAAGAGATATCAAACATCCATGTCACCCCAAGTTACAGGGCCCAGTTTACTGACTTTGGCTGGTCTGGTCTCCAGAAGCCTCTCGAGTCACGCCTTGGCCGCGCTGGCCGAGTTCCACGCCGAAAAGGACGCACACGAAAAGACATTTGAGAAGCTGAGGACCGGCGCCGCTCCGAGAGCTGGAGCCGGACTCGGCGTCGTCGAACCGGAAGACGAGGACCCTGTAGCGGAGGATGCGGACGATCAACCGCTGAGCATGGCGGCCTTTACGGAGGATTGGAACGAATCGCAGTTTTGGGTACGTAAGACGACATGCACAAACAACGTCCTCTCGTCCAGTTGTCTTGCGCCTTTTAGCTCTGGCGGTGGAGATAGATGGCATGGCATGGCATGGCATCGCGATCGGCTTCTGGGATATAGTCTGTGCCTTTGCGTCCAAAGTTGGGGTATCTATTACGTACTGGGCTGGTCTTGGCACTACAACTTCATGATATTGACATCGTGGAAAGAAACGCATACTAACATGGGCCTGACGATATAGTTTCTCGACGAAACAGCCTTTGCTCTGGCCGATCAGCTCCTCGATGGTGCATCGTCAAGCTCGACTATTGGCGTAGTCTCGACACCGAGTGTGTTCATCGCGCTCAAGAACCGTCTTGTAAGATCAAATCTGACTTCTGTTATGCCTAGGACTTGATATGTAGAACCCAGAAACTGACTGGGACACAGAGATTCTGGCCTATTGAAGACCGGCCTAAGCTGGTCTTATTCGAACATGACCACCGTTTCAGCGTCTTTCCCGAGTTTGTCTTTTATGACTTCCAGCGACCTCTCCAACTTCCAGGTATGACTGCTTTGCTAGTTGAGGACTGTTTTTGACATATGCTGATATTATTATCTCAGCCCATCTGAAGGGCAGCTTGGATAGTATTATCATTGACCCTCCATTCTTCAGCAATGACTGCCAGACAAAGTGTAAGTAATGCTCACAGTCGTCCTGGCCACTATCCGGATGTTACTCCATCCCGTATCACACGATCTGCACCCTCTAATTTCACCATTAACATGTCACCCACCAGTTGCTCTAACAGGCCGTTGGCTCGTCAAGCCAAAGTCGCCTCGTGTGATTGTCTGCACGGGAGAACGAATGGCTACCATTGTCGACAAGCTCTACCGTTCGCTTGGAGTCTATGCGACAACATTCGAGCCCGCTCACGCGGGTTTAAGTAACCACTATTACTGCTACGCCAATTTCGAGAGTTCAACTTGGGACTGGCGATCTGATGTATCAGATTAAAGAGGTTGAACGGGAGATGCGAGGCGTTAAGAGATGACACCCGCTACTGGAACCATCTCGAGTTCAAGGTCTTGAAAGAATACAGAAGACCGGGAAGTGTGACACAAGGCGCAATGACTTATGGAAAATCTGTGGATGCCAGACCCAGTGAAGTTCGCCACATTTAGAAAAAGAGATACATCTGAAGAAAGACCGTGGACCGCCCTCTTCAGAAGGGTGCCATGGTATTAATAAACTACATATATGCGCCGAGCAATGCTCCATACTGCGCTCAACCTGCAGCTGATATATGGAACCAGTCGACTTATTGATCATGATCATTAACGCCTTTCTGGCTCTCCTCATCTAAACCCCCGATTGCCTAGGCCAGCGAGCGAATGATGTAGAAAAGGAGATAGGCCTGCGCCCCAAGGACATCAGATAAGCTCGCCAACTCGACTTTGTGATCATTAAACTTGAACCACTGAAAAGATATGTCAGCTCTGATACAGCGCCATAAAGAGTAAAATTTACCTGGTCGCCGACCCGGCAGTATGATGTATAATGGCCAGTGTCGATCTCGCCCACATGAACCACGACACTAAGGAGGTCATAGGTGCATGATCGCTCCAGCTCAAGGCTTTCACGACTCTCGTGGTTGCGGACACGATTGGTGTAAGGAAGCATGTTCAGTTGGAGAGGAAATTTGACTTCGTTGTCGACCTTTGACGCGGCACGATCGTGGCGGCCATGTCTGTACTCGAAGCGCTGTGAAAAGAGTTAACTTGGCGAACCAACACCAGCACCCACGAGCCACCGACTACACTCACCTTAAGCTGTATGGACAGTACGTTTGGCAGCCGCTTAATGCTGGTATGTCGTTTGGCTTGTTGAGTTCCGTTGCAGTTGTTGCACCGATACTCGCACTTGTCATACTTTATGTATTCTTCATCCAAGCAATCCTGCAAGGTTAGAGAAGGCTTCTTCTGGCCAGTCCTCTTGCTTTTTTTCTGGACGACATTTTCGAGACCTAGACTCAGATCAAGGAACGACTGGATAGAATTACTCTGGCCTGAGCAATTCTGACACGTTGTTGTGGTCTGCATCTTGCCGTAGAATGTCTGATGCATGATACAATTGCAGCTATGTTCGCTGCCGATCTCCGGTTTTTTGCCATCGCCATTTCGTTCATGAAGCTCTTCAGCCAAGAACTGGAAGAACTCATGAGCATCTTGTTCTTTGGTGGTAACAAGATTCTCGAATGCCTTCTTCTCGGAGATCCAGAAACCTGACAATATATTGGCAGCAGTATACCCGTTAGTGTTCTCTAGGGCGTAAAAATCTTGGAACATGTCGTCCATTGCACAGCTCAGGCAGTGAGGGACCTGACAATCATTGCTCTGGTGACCATCGCTTAGATAAAAGTTTCTCAGTAATGGGTTGTGCAAGAAGCTTTGGAGAACAACGTTCTGATAGCAGGTCGCACCGGCGTTATAGATGCCGCGCAGGCCGTTTGCACGACAGGAGGCGGTCGTGGTATTGTTAGTAATATACCGAGGGTCATCCTTCATGGAGTCTGAGAAGAGCTCATTGTGTTTTCTCTTGCGACCTGGCCAACAGTTAATTTCAGGCGACAGAAAACCATCCGCGAGCAACACGTCAGTCAAGGATACAGCCATTCGTTCTCATTCTGTATCGCGTATGGACGAGTCTTGACTTGATGCATCTCCGCACACAATCGCTTACCAGAAAAAGAGCCGGTCCCTATCTTTCTCACTCGAAGCTCCTCGAGAGTTGGGTCCCAGACAAAATCGTCGCACATCTGACAGTACAGGCAACCGCTCCGAGAGTCAACATCTGCGCCAGGGTTAGTAAAGCAGGCAGCGGAAAGCAGCAGCACAAGACTACTAACAGAAACGGTGCTGTTTCTTGGTTCCGTGTTTCAATCGATCTTCCTCGGACACGGTCATGGGACATTGTAGGCAGAGGTAGTTCGAGGTAAGGGTCGTAACGGGTCGGCCCTCTTGTGTTGAGGTTTGGGGGACGATGGGTGTCGCATCGAAGATGTTGCGGAGGATTAACTTGTAGTGCGTGATCGAGCTGTTCATGACCTCTTGGTTCTTGCTGAGGAGGAGTTGTACATGCTCTAGGGACAATTAGACAAGGATACAGAGAGACAGAGCATTGGGTTGCCATACCACAGCCGAACATTGGTGATCCGGGGACCGGAGACTTCACCTTGATGTTCTTAGGTGAGGCCGGGGTTGTCGGTCGCCCAGACATTGTAAGGAATCAGGCCTTTGCGGCTAGAGTTTTGCTGCAGCAATTGAAGCTCGTAGCAGACGAATGAAGCTTGTTGATGCGGCTGATAAAAGGGAGCTCGATTCGTGATCAAGCGGATGCGGCGAGGAGTTACTGTACGGTACACTCGAAGACCCACATATAACGACAGGCTTGACTATTCGTTTATTCTTGATCGGTTTGTTGTACGTTCGCTCGCTCGCTCGCTCGTTTATTTATTCGTTCCTTTGCCTGGCGGGTGATGTGATGGTGTACAAGGCTGAAGGATGCACGCGAGGCACCGAGTTGTATGAATGTGCAACCAACAAACAGCAAGCCGAAAGTCGGACAAATGGTGGCCAACCTCTTCGAGTTGAAACTGAATATCAAAAAGATTAATGAACGGTAGGAGGTGAATGAGCGTCTAGAGGTGGCCGCTAAGGAATTAAACAATAGAGATGAAAAGATCAAACTTTGTTGTTGCGCCTAGTTATTGATTGTTCCTTCAATTAATAGAATAGATTAAGTAAGTGCATCTATGCATGCATGCATGGGTTGGATGGAAATAGAAGTGCAGGAGTGGTATTGAAAGCCACTATCACTTACTGTAAGGTACCTAAGTTAAGGTAAGGTAAGGTATAGTAGGTACTAAATTAGGAGAGATTACAACGGATGCAGGCTCCCTAAAACTCAGTGTGCCGGGTACCTTTTGGTGTAAGATTGGCGGGTATATACATCAAGTGATGGAGGCGCTCTTGAAAATTCCATATACCCATGTCATGCAGGGCGATAAGATAACCTGCCTACCAACCTTACCCAGCTTGGCACTAGTCTCACCAGCTGAACCTCATATTAACCGCGACCACGGCGCGTCTAAGGTCTAACAGGCACATTGACTGGTGATGTTGTAGTTGATAGTCACTTGAGAATGATTTTCCCTATATCTGAAAACTCCAATACAGCATCTGATATGTAGTACCAGACAAGATTATAGCTATTATTTATGATGTGCAAAGTGATGCCTATTACTGTATCTCCATCCGTCACGTCAATATGCACTTAGAAGAGGAGCACCGTCGTGCCGAGGTCTATTCATTCTCCATTGAATAAGCAGTTTAGATTGCCGGGTGACAACTGCCAGCTCCCTCCCTACCTCTTTTAGATCGATATCTTCTTCCCTAGGTATTTCTCTCATCTTTCGTCCTTGACCTACACAAACATTTTTGAGCTTTGAGCTTATTTGACTAGAAACGGGGCTCAAAGTCTCCACTGTCTACCGAACTCCCGGCCCGACTTTTGGGGATCCCGGCTCCGGACCCCTCCCAATCAGCACCGATAGTCGCCCATACGCCGTTCGTCCACCTTGAATATTACCAACAACTAGAGCACCATGGCAACTCAACTCATTACTCTGCCAGCTGTAGAGCGTCTTAGTCCTACAGTCATCCGCATTTTGGGCGGCAATCCAGGCAAATTCACTCTTCAAGGCACAAACACATATCTTCTCGGTACAGGTCGTCGGCGGCTTCTCATTGACACTGGCGAGGGTCGCAATGCTTGGATCTCATCTATTCGCGAGACTCTACAGCAGGAGAATGCGACTATAGATGCCGCGCTCATCACGCACTGGCATCATGATCATACAGGTGGTATCAAAGATCTCTTGAGCATCTCACCACAGACGAGAATCTTCAAGCACACTCCGGAGGAAGCCCAGCATGAAATCAAGCACGGGCAGCGCTTCCAAGTCGACGGAGCTACATTGAAAGCCGCGTATACACCAGGGCATACAAAGGATCATATGGCGTTCGTTCTTGAGGAAGAAGACGCAATGTTCACAGCCGACAACGTCCTCGGTCAAGGGACTGCGGTATTTGAGGACATGATCACGTATCTACGAAGCCTAGAAGAAATGAAACCTCTCTTCAAAGGCCGAGCATACCCTGGACACGGGCCGGTGATTGAGAATGGACCAGCAAAGATTGCCGAGTACATCGCGCATCGAAAACAGCGAGAGGATCAGGTCATTCAGACGTTGAAGACGGGGCCTGGTGAAGTGGAAACTCAAGAATCTGCACTGTGGTCGGCATGGACAGCGACCGATCTGGTCGAGGTGATTTACAAAGATGTGCCTCAGAATCTGCACCCAGCAGCTCGTGGCGGCGTTTTGCAGATACTGGGAAAGCTGGAGAGCGAAGGTCGCGTAGCTCATGACGGTGACGAATGGAAGTTGCTGGTAGACGGCCGGGCTTCTCTATGAGTCTGAGCTACAGTGAGTGGACAATGGAGAGGCCAAATTGAGTCACTGGTGTATTCCCGAATCGCCGTGATAAAGCAAGTAGGTAGTTATTCATCATTCATGACCCGAAAGGCCATTGTGAGGAACGAGCCGTGTTTGCTCGGGAATACGGACTTTTAAACAGGATGGACTGGACTGAACTGAACTGGGCTAGGTTAGGTTAATGGCATGATTTGGGCATGCCAAGCGCTGAGTTTTGTAGCAAGTTTGTAGGGTAAACTTGGTAGCGATATGAGGCAGGGCCTTCGGCAGCGTCGGATCATCTAAATCAATGGATCCTGATGTGATATGGACCTTGTGGATGGCGACTTACTTAGTACCTATGTAACTATCTTATGAAACTGGTGGGGATCGCCAACTGGGTTCTGGTTCTGGGAACACACCCCTGTCCATTATCGCAGCCACTCTATCAAACAAACCCACGGCATTGGCCATGTTCTCAACAACTGACATTGTTGCTGATGGTGAAGTGTACTGTAAGCAGATCAATACTCTAGATAAAGTACCTACTGTAATCCACATGCAGCAGCTTCAGTTCGGCCGATCACGGAGACTAGCTGCAGTGCAATGCAATGTCGTCACATCAGATCCCAAGCTCTCCATGCATGTAAGTACAGTACAAGAGTTAGGTGTCTTGAGACTGCAACATTAAACCCGTCGTTTAGAGGTCCGTTTCATGCAGCCACAAACGGTCCAATTTTGTCCGAATATCATACGACAGGCCGTGAAAAGAGAGAGCTCGATGATACATAATTAATCGTTGTACCTTAGAACCTCGGTGCTCAAACTGCGGAGTGTTCGGGAGTAAATTTTTGGCGTATAGCATACGTACAGATATGCGTATACCTAGTACCTGAGGAATGGAGACAAGTTGACCACGAGTTGCCGTTCTTGGCGAGATCATTGTATTCACTCTTATTTGCTGGCTCGGGTTGCAACCCAAGACAGCTGACTCTTTTGGGTGTAATACGTACACACGATGGATGCAAGTCAGCACCACGGACTCGACAACCAAGTGGGCGGTGAGCCAGCACATCCTGAACGATCCGATAATTCTGTCCTAGACTGGGATAGAAATATTCCTGTTTATGCACCTCTTCCTCCAACCGAGTTGTGTTTTGTAAAACGAAGCAATTTGTCAGCGGAGGAGGACATCTAGGGTAATCTGATATCTTGGTGGCACTCCAGAACCATCCAACTTGAGCAAATGTTCCTTCTCATGACCCTTGTATTTTACGCCCGGCTTCAGGCCCTTCCTTGCCCATGGGCATGGTTACGTGATGCCTTGTGACCACTTTGACAGCTCGAGGTTGGTGGGTTGTGACCCTGTTTAATGGAGTGCGTCTGTCTGTCTGTCTGGTTGACCGGCATCATCGGGCCCACGGAGACGGAGATAATGATAGAGCCTGCAAATGCCGTCAGGCAGGTAGGTAGTCTAGTGCTCAGACCGACAGTTACAGTTACAGTTACATTTCCTGATCTTGATCAAAGATCTGTGATTGCCAAGACACTTCGGTATGAATCATCCGCAGTCATCAAAGTCCACGAGGAAAGTTTCCGTGAAAAGTTCCCGTTGGACTAGCACAGACTAACTATCAAGTGTATGTAAGTCAAAGACACACACACATGTAGTAAGGCGTATAAAGCAAAGTGCGCTGCCGTTGTGTTGTAAGTGGTACACTTCTTTGTCAGCCCTAAACGAATATTTGACTACACTAGACGTCATATACAGCCTTATCGTTTACACTGCACAGACGTAGAAACTTTGTAAGTCAAGAGCCGAGGAGAAAGTGTGCGGAATTGTCGGCGTAGTTGGGTTGAAGTTGTGTGGAGATGCTGGACCGGGATTATTTAGATCTAGGGAACACATCAAAGAGGTTGAAGACCGCTGCATCCAATGAACGACGGCGTAGCTTTATTGTTCAGCGCGGGATGAGGTAACTAGCGCCAAAGCTGCCGGCATAAAGAGCTGTCCATGATGCATGATAATGCCTGTAAAGACGAAAGCTCTCATATGGATTTCGGCATTTTGCTCGATACCAGTATGTGCTCTGATATCGGTGATGCAGGCCTAAACAAGTCAGTTTTGAGTAGGTAATTAGGTATGACTGAGAAGCCATAGTTAGTACGTGTAGAGCTTATGACTGAATATTCGTAATTAACTTGTAAGTTAGTGAGTGAGTGGCTGACTGCCTGTTTATCGGAGCCGAGTCGAGGTGCACGTAACCAAGGGTGGTACTGTTTGTTACCAAACGTGGTGAAGGGTTGCGAGCCCTGCATTGCAGCAAGTTACAGTACAGCACACACACACACACACACACACACACAGAAAGTTCTTGTGACCAGTGACTAACTAACTAACCAACTAATGATCTCTGTGCTTGGTGAGAATAGGAATGGAAGAGGAGGATCCATCCACCCATGCATGGCCTGTGATATCCACTTCATCTCCGCCGAAATGCCTTGACGTTCTTCGAGAAGATGCCTTTTCCAAAGTTTCCGTGCCGATCGATCGACCACGTTGACCATGAACGGACTAAAAGCGTAACTGCCTTACCTACTTACCTACCTACTCGGAACCAACAGATCCTTAAAGTAAGTACTACATCACATGGGCCCCGCGGACTACCTAGGTACCTTTAGCAGGGCCTGCCCTGATCTAGGAAGTGCATACCTACCTCTAGTAGGTACTACTAAGGCAATGCATGTACAGTAACCTCTACGATGCTGCAGATTAGTACTTACCTTACCTATAGGTACAGTCGGGTGGTGGGTGTGCTCGAGCTGTCGATGCCCACCCCCCACCGGCCGGCCCCATTTCGAGGATCCCCCACTATCCATCCAAATGCTTACCACATTTATTTTCTTTCCCCCTGTTGTCTTGTTTTTCCCACCTATTCAGAGGTCAAGGTACAACTTTCCATGATGAAGCAATTCGGAAGCTTCGGATGGTCAACTGCTGCGTATCCTCTCTTGGCTCTCGTCGTTTTGTCTCCGACTGACCAAGAGATTCCAATGCCTCAGCTTATGACCTGTTTTCGGCCGCTCGGGCCCGATAGTAACAATAGAAGATAAAACAATGCCATGTCATGATTTCTTGAAACGCTCTTCGTTTTGACGTCTACTTGATCGCATGATTATACATGTCCTCCTGCTTGTGTCTTATTTGCTGTAAACAAGTATAATTACTGCTTGCGATCTCTCGTCGTCTAGCCGTCTTGTCTTGTCCTGTTTCGTTGCATATATTGTTTCCTTCTGCGGACAACCCTTTCTGGACGTACGTTACCAAGATGATTTACACAGGAAGGATGTCGCATGCATCTGGCCCATTGCTTTTGGCGCTTCTACCTGCGGTAACTGCGCATGGCGGTGGTGAAAGCATGGACATGGATATGGGAATGGGAATGGCCCATGGCGGCAGCACAACGACACAGCCGCCCAACAGCGAGGGCTACCCTGATACCTACTTTGCGCATACTGAACATACTGGAGTCATATACACACACATTGCATTGATGGTTCTTTCTTGGGTATTTATTCTACCAATTGGTAAGTTTTCATGGTGTTGAGCTTTATGCGCCGACTAACACCACCAACACCAGCCGTCATGTTCTCGCTGGCAAACTCTCGCTTTACACTACCGGCGCAATTTGTTTTCCTAGCTACAAATTCTCTTGGAGTCCTGGTCGGCGTGATATATAACGCGCAGACCCCAGACCTGTATCCAAACAATGCGCACCACAAGATTGGCTGGATTGTGACCTGGGTCGTTTGCGCCCAGGTCCTTGTAAGTGCCGTGGGCTGTATCGCGGGAGCTCTAAGGGGTAAACGAAAGACGCCAAGTAACGAGACACATGCCTTTCTGCCTGTCGCGACGCAAGAGGTCGACTACTCTTCGCACAATGGCTACCACAATGCCAGCCCCTACCGCATGTCCAACGACAGTGGACGAGGAACCGAACCAGACACACCCTCGCTTCGAAGCGACTCGGCATCTACTCTCAATGGCATAGAGTCGCCTATCAACAACCACAGGAAAGAGTACGAGGATGATGATGGCGACCTAGAGGAATTATCACTAGCCTCTCCTGAACCTCAGGGAACCTTTGCTCGCCACGCCTCCAAGGTCGCTGCTTCGCGGTTATGGAAGTATCTCGACCTCGGCCGTTGCATAGTTGATCGCATTATCCTCCCCTTCGGCTTCATTGCGCTTGCAACCGGTGTTGTCACCTTTGGTCGTTTCTTTGTAAGTTGCTAGCAGATACCTTGGTTGCGACACTTGACTGACAAGTCTTCCAGGAGGGTGGCGGAATCTTCAATGGACTGGCGCATTGGATTAAGGGCGGTGTTTTCTTCTGGCTAGGTATCTTCACCCTCGGCCGCTGGACCGGCAGCTTTGGAGAGCTTGGCTGGGCGTGGAATGTTCGACCAAGGAAGGACTCCCAGAAGTGGCGTCCTTCTGCTGAGTTTGTCGAGAGCTTCTTGATCTTCTTCTATGGCGCTACCAATATCTTCATGGAGCACCTCGGCGGTTGGGGAGGAGACTGGACCGCCCAGGACATGGAGCACATCTCCATAACAGTTCTGTTCATTGGAGGAGGCTTGGTAAGTCGCTCGAGCTGCCTCAGTCGATTTTTCCACAGCAAAAACTGACTTGTTTCTTTAGTGCGGTATGCTCATCGAGTCGACACGTATTCGCCATCTTCTCAACACAACTGTGGACGAAGTTCGACCCAAGAGCCCTTACACGGCCGAGGAAGCAAACGAACCTGAAGCCCCCGACACATACGAGTTCTCGCTCAACCCCATCCCAGCTTTGGTCATCATGCTGCTTGGGCTCATGATGAGCTCCCACACACAGCATACCATGATGTCCAGCATGGTTCATAAGCAATGGGGTGACCTCCTTCTAGGAGCTTCCCTTGCTCGAGGGTTGACATACCTCATGATGTACTTGAAGCCACCCAAGTCCATTCTCCCATCACGTCCCCCAACGGAACTCTTGGCTGCTTTCGGACTGATCGCTGGAGGTATCATCTTTATGGCTAGTGTATGTCGAGGGCCCCTGAAAAAAGATTCAAAACGCTAACTTGAAGTAGAGCACTGATACTGTCGACGGAATGATCCACTACAAACTCGACGTCATGTTCATGTACACTGTCACCATGGGTCTGGTCGCCATCCTGATGGCTTGGGTCGTTATCATCCTCGCCATCAAGGGATGGGCTGTCCGACTCGAACGACGCCGTAATTCGAATTAGACCGTACATATGCACATATTGATGAAGGAATGACATACTGCCGTGATTCGGCCTGGGTGGAAGACAGGCGTGTATATAGATTGATTGTATTGCGCGCTTGATGTAGTGTAGACTCTGCTTTGAGATACCCTTATGCAATAACGGCTGCTAAATGACCTAATTCCTGAACCTGACTTTCCGCCCGTTAACTGAGTGGACAACATGCTGTGGCGCATTTGAGTACAGTGTCAAGCGTTCTTGGTTTCAATAATATAGCTTGCTATCTGCAAAGAAAAACGCCATCCTTGTGATCTGACATGTCCTTGTCTCGTAGGAAGTGGTGAAGAATGGCTCCCAAGAGTCCACTTATTGCCAAGGAGCGGATATGAAATGCCATCGTGCGTTCACTGTAGTGGACCGAAATGATCTGGACTGCGTATATACAGCCTGCTCATACATTCCCGTCCTTGGCCTTTGGTGCAGCAACCACTCTCTTCTGGTCCTCGGGAGAGAAAAGCCCCGCACCTTGTTGCAGAGCGTGAACAAGGGAAGGGATGGAATCGGCCTTGAAGTCCTCTGCGTTGCGAACTTTGTCAAGGTCCTCTGAGAGCTCTTGTGTTGTGCGTTGAAGGTAGTAGGAGGTAAACTCCGGAGAAGACGTGTTGGCAGACTTGGAAGACATTTTAATATTTTTGGTAGAGAGGAGCCGAATTTATTTGGTTTGACGAAGGTAGTCCTAGCGATGTTGACTGTTGGGTTTGCGGCTCTCAAGGTTCCTCCACCTTGGCCAGAATGACGAAAACTTGAGCAAGCAAATTCTTGACAGTGCGAAGAAAAAGGTATATGTCATGAGCACTGTGTCTACATCTCATGACTTCGACGTGATGGAAGCCATGATACAGATTAACTCGAAGCAAATACATAAGTTTTGCCAGTTCTCCCAGTCAATCGAATAGAATAACGCTAGGTGAATGCAGCTCCTGGTACAATAGGGCGATACGCCGCGAACTTGTGGTATGGTTGATGGATCTCACGACGCAATGTATGGAGCAAGTTGGTACAAAGCCCAGTGCGCTCTGCGTTACTTGTAGTATTTTATATTCTATCAATGTTTTCACATCTAATGTCACTCTACAGTGAAGCCTGTCTACCTAAACAGGTCTGGGACGAAACTCCATAAAACAGATCATGACCTTCCAAAATCGCTAATCCACAATAACGCCCTGAGTGCCTCGTGAACATGAACCTCGTGAACATGAATCATTAAAGACACACAGCTGATAACTTAATGAGAAATGTACTGGAACACAGCAGACACCTCGGACTCTCCACATTCTTGCCTCAAGAGCAAGTCCTGAATTGGCTTCAGCCCCTCGTTAACAAAATGATTCCATGTGCTGGTATCACCATATAGCATGGCTGGCGCCTTGATATACTGCTTCCCATCAGGCTTACACCGCTTGCACTTGAACGTCTCATGAGTGTCGCTCTTGGTATCTGGCCGGTACTGGAAAAGTTCACGGAGACTGTCGAGCGAGAAATGCCGTTCAACATCTTCCGCCGAGTCCACAACACAAGAAGATAAACTCTGTTTGTGAGACTGGCGTTGGAAGATCTTCTCCTCGATAGTGCCCGTTGCAATGAAGCGGTACACGAAACAATCCTTCTTTTGTCCATCGCGCCACACTCGAGCAAGCGCCTGTTGATCAGCAGCCGGGTTCCAATCGGGGTCGAATAGCACCAGCCGGTTCGCGCCGATAAGGTTGATACCGCATCCACCAGCCTTGCTGCTCAGGAGAAAGACGAATTCGTCACCCTCAGGATCGTTGAACCGATCAACAAGCTTCTGACGCTTGTTGACGTTCATGGTTCCGTCGAGTCGCAAACATCCATACTGACGAGAGCGGCACATTCGTTCAAAAAGATCCAGTGTCGAAGTATAGTTGCTAATCAACACAATCTTGTCGTTTGTATCTTGGCGGATGCGGGCCAGCATGCGATCCAACACTGCCATTTTGCCTGAATACCATGACTTAATCTCACGATCTCGACCACGGGATTCCTTGGGTACATAGTCATCAGGGAAGCACTGCTCTGAGCCCGGTAGATCATCCGCCATGTTCAAAAGATCAGGATGGTTACAGAGCTTCTTGAGAATGTTGATGGCTTTCAAAGGCTGACTTCCCTTGCCTCTCAGGAGAGCCTGAATGTCAGGACTCTTGATGAAGTAGTTGTAGAGGTCAAACTGGAAGGGTGCAAGATTACAGAACACAACGTGCTCGTACTTGACAGGCAAGTACTTGGAAAGGATGTCGTTGGTACGACGAATCAGGAACTTGTTGACAACATTGAGCAATGCCGCAGTGCACTCATCGCCCTTCTTTCGATCTTCCTCCGACGCATCAGCATCTCGGCCACGGAGAATTGGGATCTCGTAGCGTTTGCGAAACTCAAGTCGTGTGCCGAGCAGATCGGGATTTGCGAAACTTGTGAGCGAGAAATACTCTGTGAGATCATTCTGGATAGGTGTGCCTGTGAGAATGACACGCCGTGAAACATTGAGACTGTTGAGAGCGTTGAAGGTATTGCTGTCGCTGTTCTTGAGACGATGTCCCTCATCACAGAAAAGCAGGCCAATCTTTGTGTGCTTCAGCTCCTCCACATTCAATCGCAGAGTTTCGTAGGAAACAATGATGACTGGCCTGGTGACGGCCCGACCGCTCGCAATTGCCCACTGTCGAAGCTGACGTGTCAGTTCTTCTTTAGATGCCTTTCCATCGATGGCGAATGGGTTGATGGCATTAGGACCAAGCCACTTAACCAACTCGTTGGCCCAATTCTTGACCAGACTGGCAGGGCAGACAACGATTGCTTTCTGAATTGTCGGCTTTCCGGCATCGGGGGATTGCTTGAGTAGTGTCCACATCAAGGAGATGCACTGAAGAGTCTTTCCCAGACCCATTTCGTCGGCCATAATGCAGCCATTGGCCTTCTCATCAATCAGGCCAGTAACACATCGATACATAAATTTGACACCTTCGACCTGATGGGGACGAAGAATCTTGGCCAGCTTCGGGTCAATTACGACTGGAACGCGAGGGTGTTCGCCGTCCACCTTCTTCTTGATTCCGAGAATCTCAGCAAGACTCTTGTGTACAAGAGGAGCGTCAAGTTTCCCGTCAGCAGCCTCTGTCTTGGCGGGCTCAATTGCCTTGGGGACATGTTTTGGTTTGTCGTCGACAGTCGGGTCATGAAGAACAATTGCGAATTCGCCACTGGGGTCATGTAGAGGCTTCGCAATGAAGACTGCACCTTGCCGTAATCCCAGTGTAGGAGGGGCACGATTGGGATTGTATGCAGCGCTATCCTTGTTCTTCAATGGTACGGAGAAGGCCTTGCGGAAAACAAGAACTTTATCCTTGGCCTGGAAAACAGGGAAACGGTTGATATCTCGAGTGGCAAGCGCCAGCCTGTCGTCGTTGGAGTATGGTTTATCATTATCTGCTTCACCGTCGGCACCACCATAATCAACCTTCCTTCGCTTGCGGGACGGTCGATCGACAGCCGGGCTTCTTCCAGCGACGCCAGGGCATTTGAATGGTTTGTGGAGACGGTCAACTGAAGAGGGCGTTGGCATCCGCTTGCCTAGAATTTTGTCCTTGCCAGCAAGTGGCGTCGCGACGAGAGGGGACCTAAAATGAGTATTAGAGCTTGCAACAACGCGCCAAAGTGTCCTTTTACTCACGCTGCTCCCATCTTGAATATATTCTCGTTTCAGAGACTTATCGAGCGGTTGTTCCAAGTATGAAAGATTTCTTGCCACCCCAGCGAGAAACAATGGAGGGTAAATAGTTAGGCAAGCGCGATGTCAGTGACTCGACGCGACAGCAGGCAGAAACACGCTATCACGTGAACCGCCACTACCTTAGCTTTACCTCTTAGGTAGCCCTCCCCGGCAAAACCGAAAGCTCGGACTCAAAAACTTAAAAAGCCTCCTCTAGCTTAGGTAACATTGGATCCATCGGGAATCGGTCGAAGAATCAAGTTTGTCGTTCGGTTCATGATGGGACCGGAACGATTGGCAAGGAATACATATTCTCCTTTTCTCCTTTTCCCTCCATACATACAACTCACTCGATCAAAACCCAACCAAAGATGATAACCGAAAGCCCATTTCCTGCAGCGTCGTCAGGGTAGGTCACCGCTGATCATCTGCTTTTTCAGTATGCGGCTCTGGAAGACCCTGGATCACTAACACATGCCTTCAAGCGTCAACCTCCCCAACTCCGATCAAAGCCGATCGGCTGGTGGAGATCCTTTTGCCGACCATCAACCCTCTGGACCGACCCCTCTTCAAGTAGCAATTGCTCGACATCGCACTGGAATCTTGACTGCAACTGTTGCTGGACACTTTGCGCATTGGCAATATCTCACTCGGTTTCGTCGAATTAATGTACAGGCTACTGCGAATCGCGCTCCTCTTGCACGGCTCGGCTTGGCCTGGGGCCTCGTATACCTCGGCGTCTTGAGCACTATCACTGTGGCTCAGCGCAAAGTGTCAAGGAATACTGATCCTCTTCTCTCACCTGTAGAGTCTACAAAAATTGTCTCATGATGTCGGCTGATTTCTGGGCTGGCTATCTCAGTGGTGCTGTTGGAATTATCATCGGAAACCCTCTTGATGTGATCAAAGTTCGACTTCAAGCACAATATACCAGTCCAGTGACGAACCCGCCTGTTTGTTCGATCCCTACTGGAACAACCGCGGCGGTTTCATCCATCAGCCAGAGTGCATCTTTCAGCACGCGGTACCTCGGATCATACGCCTCCTTGGTGACCGGAACTGCAGCACCAATTCTCGGTTACGGTGCGCTGAACGCCTTGCTCTTTGTTTCCTACAATCGAACCGAGACGGCACTGAATAGCGTATTCTCAACATCTGGAAACTTGTGGAATACCTGGCTTGCTGGCGCGGTGGGCGGTCTTGCAACCTGGGTCGTTAGCACTCCCACCGAACTGATCAAGTGCAGGGCGCAGCTAGCATCCTCTCCAACCTCAAGCTGGGCTATCACTAAGGATATCTGGAAAAACGAAGGTGTTCGAGGTCTTTACTTCGGCGGAACTGTGACTGCTATCCGGGATAGCGTTGGCTATGGCTTTTACTTCTGGTCCTACGAGCTGACGACCCGGTGGCTGGCCACGGAACAGGGCGAAGAAACCTCTTTGCGACACGAGGCCGCCAAGGTTCTCCTCTGCGGAGGATTAGCTGGAGTCGCAACTTGGGCGAGCATATTTCCACTCGATGTTATCAAGACTAGAGTTCAGGCCCAGACCCTTGGCGGACAAGCAGAAACAACACTCCTTCTGCAACCAAACGTAGCGTCACAAACCAAACGGGCTGGCGCAATACAGGTCGCACGTGAGGCGTACCGGGAGGGAGGCTCTCGTGTTTTCTTTAGAGGGTTGACTGTCTGCAGCGTACGAGCTTTCATAGTAAATGCTGTCCAGTGGGCGGTTTACGAATGGGTCATGTTCGAACTCGGACATGGACGGAAGAAGACAGTGACCAACGAGCCTAGGGTAGGGATGGTACAAACATGATGTGTGAGGTCTACAATGGCATCCGGATTCATCCGCTACAATTAAAACAAATGAGCTTCTTCTCAACTTCAAGTCATGGCGATTCTCTAGGATGGACAAAACGAAGAAGGAAAAGCTGCTACAGGCAGCTCGGTGAGAGCTTCACCTTGACCACTTTATGCATGATGATTGTATTTTAGAACACTTACCTCGGAAATATATTATCTGGGGTTCTTTCCGCTTCCTATGAAGGCTCGAAACTTAACCAACGTGCAAGTCACTTTCATGATCTATCTTCATTGGTTCCACTTCAAGGCCTAGAATCAGTCACTTCTATCACGTTGTTGTCGGCTTCAAACGGGTTACTGCACAACAATCACTAGACGAGAGCTATTGTATCAGAACTAACAAACAGTTTTCGTCATTTAAACGTTCAATTAAGTCTTTTCCTCGCACCCAAATCAAAAAGGCATCTGAAAGATGTCAGACTCTTTGTGAACGCCATCCTACATGCGTTCACCAAAGGCATCTTCTGAGCGCCCGAAAATATATGACAAAAACTCTCATTTATTAGAGCTGTGATGCTTTGACTCACAAACCAGTAAGTATTTCGTCGCAACGGGGAACCATGCATGTTCCCCACTGAACCATTGTGACGCTGTCATAAATCAATGCATCGGGGTACTTGTCATAATGCACTGCACTGACAAAGGTCGCGTCCAGGGGAATCTATATGTGAAGTTCATCTGATCTCGTGGTCAAAGACCGCCGTAGTCCCCCATAACTCGACAGCGGACTCGGATAGTCGCTCAAAGGCGACACAATATCTGCAAGGCTCGATCGAGGTGATACAGGTTGGAAAGAAGTATTTGGAGAGACAAATGATGCGAGTTGCTCTTCCTGGAGAGATAGATGCCGTTGTCGGTTACGCTGATATCGTTGCTGCTCCTGTTCGCGGCGATTCTGTTGTAGCTGATGCTGATTTTTGAGATCCTTCTGTTGTTGCCCTTCTTCCTGCGAGACAGCCCATCCTACCGAGCTTTGTTGATGGTCTGGGTGAAAGCTGGACCTTGGAACAGCTGTAGGCACCATGACTGTTGTGCCATCAAGATGGACGAGACGTGGTCCCTGATACCACCACTGGTCTTCAAACCCATTATCCACTGTCATCAGTGCCGAAGCTAATGACTGTATGTCTTTGGCCTTGCCTCGCGCTCGATCGTCAACTTGCACAGGCTGAACGTATCGTGATGGCTCTCCTGGGAACTCGGGTCCCCATGTTGCTCGGAGGCTTGCCTCACGCGAGCGAGTGCGGCCCTCTCCCCCTTCGTTGTTGTCGTCATCTCCGTTGTTATCATTGAATCCCATAGGGAAATTCCAGCCGTCCCATGGCATGTCGCCCTCTCCAAGTCGGAACTGATTCGGCGTTGCAGGCAAAGCTTTCCAAACTTGGAGCTCGCCTCCTGAATTGCTGGAGGTCACATCCCAGGGACTGTTGTTCAAAGGAGGGGGCGCAGACCGTCCACGCTCGTGAGAACTTCGTTCCGCGGATCTCGAGCTTAGTCGCAGCTCCTCGGTGTGAGTTTCTCGTTGCTGTTGCTCCGCTGGGGCAGCTGGTGCATAATACTCTCTGATGTGGTGTTGTGGTTGTTGGGGACGATATGGTTGATATGTGGGTTCATGGGCCATGCCAATCGACACTGGATCTCTGCTGTAAATATTGGGAGGCAGGTTGCTGATGGAGTGAGTGAACTGTTGCTGTGATTGGGTCTGTGGTTCCTGGGCTTGAGTTGGCATTTGTTGGTGAGCGGGCTGATACTGTGCGGGAGCGTTGAGATAGTTGGTATTTGTTGGAGGGAGTTGGCGAGGGAATTGGTTGGCCCGGTCGCGCATGCTCTTTGATACATAAGTAATGTGTCTGTCCCTGGACATAATTTTGGGCAGTGGGACGCCCATTTCCAGATGAACGTAAATGCCTGGTCGTTCCCCCATGATGGCAACAGGTGGAAGATGTCGGCTGAAAGATAGGTACTGTTCGTAACGTTACGTCGAGCTAGTAACAGATTCACCAGGGGTTACTGTGATGGATCGAATGCAGTGGATTCAGAAAGATCTGGTGGGCGAAATCGGTAGTGGTGAGAGACTGACTCTATGGCAGGCGTCAGATCATAACAATTGTGTTGTAACAAACGCGATGTCCGGCTTGGGTGGACAACAGTCAGAAGTACTTGGAGAATCTGGCAAAGGGAGAGAGAAAGAGAGAGAGAGAGGCACACACAGAGAGGGAGAGAGAGAGAAGTCGTCAAGATGTGTGAGATGGACGGATGGATAGGTATATAGAGTTGCTTGCTCCAGTAGTAGGCTTAGAACTCTTCTCCGCCTCTGGTCTTTAGCGTGGTCAGAAAAAGACCGAGGTTCCTTAATCTGAGGTGAGGTAAGGAGCAAAAGAGGCGAAGCCGTTGTGTTTTTGGTAGTGATACAGCGCAGCCCGCGGCTGTTGCATAGTGAATGTGCAGCTTGTCAAGGGATATAATGATAGATTCAGCTTCAGAGGTCCCAAGTTAGCAGTCGAATGAATGCCTTGTATTAAGCACAGGCCGGCCCTTGATTGCCACCTGACCTGGCCTGACTACCTACCTAGGTAGGAAGAGCTCTGGTGAGCTGAGCTGAAAGATGGCTATGGCCGCTTCTAGCTATCGGCCGCCGTCTGATACGGGGCCCGCACGGCGCCCAGGGAGGAAGCTAAGGATGGATGTCGTGGGACAGGGATGATTGAGGATCTGTTTCTTGGCGTTTGTCAAGACAGAACATCGATGCACTGACGTGCCTATGCACTAATTGTCTTGAGCTACCTAGTGTGGCCCGCTAGATGTTCATGCTCAGCACACACAGAACCATTCATTGCTCAGGGGGAGCGAGGCCAAAGACAAACAATTCGTGTCAGACGAGAACACTTCAATTCAGCTGAGGTCCCATGTTTCTACTACCAAGAGAGGACAAAGATGTTGCCCGAAACGAGCTGTTAGCACTCACTAAGCCTAGCGGATTCGCTTCTCATTTGCCCCAGAGACCACGCCCCCCCCGCAATCCCACGCTAAAAACTGATTGAGGCTTGCGAACGCAACCGCAAGGTGTGGCGAAGGTACGGAGTACATCTTCCCAAAACGAGCATGTCCTCGTTAGAACGTGTTTATTTTTGGCTCATCTAAACCTAATTAGCGAAGTCGATATGCGAAAAAGTAAATTGCAACTGCGGATATAAAGCCTTTGACGACCTTTGCAGTATCAACAACATCGAAATAGGCTTGCGGAGTCTTTTGAATGACAGAATCAGGATCGTCAGGATCAACGGACAGGGTCAACCAAACCCACTATGCGTCGGGTCTTTTCTAGAAACATTCTTGGAAGCCCCCCTGTATTAACCACCGACCGCATCGACACCTCAACCTCACAATCAGACATCACAAGTATGAGATGACTTACCACGCGGTAATGTGTGAAGACCGACACACACTGTAACATGGTACAAAGAATAAAAATACGTATGGTATGTGTGCACTTTCTATTCTGCCCAGCTAATTTTATCGAATCTACAACTACAATTCTGGGGTTGAGAAGGCTGTGTTGGCCCCTTTCCGATCCTTCGTCGATGAAGGATCACATGGATTGTCTCAATTAAATAAAACCGCCGAATGGGCCATTTCCATCATTCCTTCTCGTCAGTTTGTTTTGATCTGATTCGCTCGCCCGCATCGAATACCAATTCCAGATGCGCCTAAGGTATCGCTTGAGGATTATGGGCATAGATACTTGATCCATTTTGCAATTTGCGTCGGCATCGAGCTCATTTACTAGGGCAACAACCCAAACATCATGACTCGAGCCCTTTGTTTTGATTCTTCGACATTGCTGTCGGGTCGTATCGTTGTCCCGATCTTGCGACTAGCCACACTGCTGAGGCTCATATATGATGGGCATGCGGTGAAACAAGTAGTCTATTCTGCCTACGTATCAACTATAGGTTGTCTCTCAGCGCTTCCTTGGCCAGTTCACATGAAAAGCGCTAATTAGGGACCCAGTATTCGCTGAGCATACTGTCAACCATCCTGTATCCCACTCAAAAAGCAGTCCTCTAATGCAATACGACCACCAGTATCCTCTGAAACAGCTCTAGAAGAACCCACTAAACAGTTTCAGTCTTGACTCCCACAGTTTTAGTCGAGTCTTCTGGCCGCCCGTGGCCCATTTCCCAGAACTTGTCAGTTTCCCGGCCACGACCAGTTACCAACCCCTGAATATCGAAAGGATCAATAAGGGTTTGCCACAACTTCCTCGGGTCCTTGTATCCAGGGCCCTCAATCTCCGTAACGCCGTCCGGGCAGAGGTAAATCTTGTTGTTTCTGGGAAGGTATCGTCGGGGATGCCGTACATTGAACATGACAAGATTGCAAAGCATAAGAGCAGCCTCAAACACATAGAAGAACCACTCGTATCTCACGATAGGACTAATCGTGGCTGGGTCGAAGCCTGGACCGTACCTGAGTTCCGCAACACTGAAGTATTCCACAATGCGATATATGGTTCGCGCAAGGATAAGGGTCATGCTGGTATACAAAGTCCATAGTGGCTTGTTGAGCCGCTCAGTTGTGATACCAGCGACAACACATCGGCGGTGGAAGGTAACAGCCAGCGTAATAAACAAAATTGCCACGACAATCTGTAAGAGCAATGAGGTCTTGATCAGAGCATGACCTATCTCAATCTCGCTGTCGGTCAATGATTGATTCGCCGAGTATGAAGCACCCCAGCCATTCAGAGCCTCAACGATGCCTGAAATAAAACCAAAGGTTGTCAGGACACGTCCAGGGTGGATGGGTGAGTTGTACGGGACGTAGTACAGGATTCGGCCGAGAATGCGATAGTTCTGAAGTTCCAGCAGCGGTCTACATATGGCATTGGATGGTCAGCATACTAAACCACGATCAAGTCTTGAGTACTGGGTAACCTACGGCGCTGCATAA